TAAAAAATAACTATATTACAATGGCTGATATTTTTCATATGAGAATAAAATCTCAAGGAGAAGCCGTTTTCGGAAATTTCGTAATTCCTCAACATATACGGATTTGATATTCACGAGCTTTGTTCATTGTTAAAATATGAAAGTTTTTCATTTGCTGATTGCATATTTGGTAATTCGTAATTAAAAAAAAAAAAAATCGATAATGTGCAAACTGAACATTAATATCACTATTGTTAGTGCGAAGTAATTAATTAGAACTAATTACTAGCATAAGAACTAATTTGTTTCTATATGATTTATTAGTATAATTTCGTATGTTATTGCTTTATACTATTTTCCATCATAGCAGACTGCTTATATTAGTTGCAGACTACAAAATGTCACTTTTAGGAAGGATAAATAAAACAAAAGTTGGAAATATTTACATACGGCCTTTTGTACTTACAGTAGTCATGGATACAATACATGGGTGCCTAGAAGGGGGTTATGAATTTTCAAAATGAAGCATGGAATGAAGTTGAAGTATGGAACAGACCGCAGTATGTATAATTGAATATCATCTATGAATATTTAAATTATACTTTCGTTTGAACTGTTTTTAAAAAGAAGAGGGATATAAAATATCTTGGGAGGGGTGGGGAAGATCTCCGTATAATTAATAGGAAAAATTACACTTTTTGATTGTTCCGAATTAACTCTAATATAAAATATGTGTGAAGTTTAACTTTGATATTTAAGGATGAAATCGAGACCACGACGAGCTAGTTGAACTTCCATAGAAATAAACATAATCACAAATAAGAATTTTTTTAATACAAACTCAGAGTAAAAATTAATTTAAATTCACTGAAAATTATACGAAATCGAAGTAATGGCAGTAGGTGTCATGCCAATATTATTATTATTATTATACATAAATATTATTAATATTATTATACATTTATATTTATTATTAAACAATCCAGGCCATCAAAAAAATAAATAAATTATATCTTTGCTATAATTTATTGTAGTTATTTTTGCTGAAAACACGGGAACTATTAGGTTACACGATTTAAAATTACATAATTTTTTTCCCCCTAATAAACCTCAACTTATTAATATAAATCTTATTAAACGGGAAATTTTTTCTATAAGTGGGATATCTGTAATATATTTGGAGGGTGATTAAATAAAACATTCATGATTTTTTAATTTAATGGCTTAGTTTAGCCATTCAAAAGTCCTCTTTAAGTGGTTTTAACAATAAAAACTCTATTTTAGTTTGAAGTAAATTTTATCTACTTGGCTAAGACAGAACGTGGCTTAGTTTAGGCCAGGGGTCTCCAAACAACGACCCGCATGCACCTAGAATCCGGCGGAGTTTCTTTTCTTTCTACTCTGAGTTTCTTTGATTTCATTATACAATTTTAAAAGCTATTTAAAAAATATGAAATTTAATTGATCACTCAAAGACTACGTTACTACAAAATTTATTGCATAAGTTATTTCTCGTAGAAAGCTTATTTCACAACTGAAGTATCATTTATAGAACATGCATTTTTTTTTTTCATCACAAGCCATGGATGGCCACGGGATTATGTGACTTAATATTATTATTATTATTACCATTTAGTCACTGTATTAGTGTAAGTCTCAATGCGGCCTGCGGGGCTTAGTGTAAATCTTAATAATATGGCCCATGGGCCTAAAAGTGGAGACCTCTGGTTTAGGCGGTCGAAAACCCTCTATAAATGATTTTAATAACGACAAACCCTACTATCATTTTAAATACATTTTCCTAGTTTACAATGAAGTAATTGATAATTACTTAAGATAAATATTTTTTTTAGTCATTTACTATTCAACAAAAACGAGATTAACTTTAAAAAACACAATATTTAAATTTCCCACTTTTCTGCCAAATATCTGACCAATGTTTATGTAAACTTTTTTGTAGTTCTTGAGGTCTTCTATCACTCCTATAAATGTTTCCCTCCAATTAAGGAACCCCCTGTAATATACACACCTATTTGTAGTTGGCAAAGGACAAAGGAAACTCTGTAATGGCTTCACTCCTGGACAAAGGAAAAGAGCTTCACTCGTGGACAAAGGAAAAGAGCTTTACTAGTTTGTTTGAATCTTGTGTTTGGATTAGTTCTGCCACAACTGTCGCGATTATAAGAATTATAAACATATTTGATTTATTCTAATGTTAAGATAATAATTGTATGTGACCATTATAAATTGATTTAATATAAGTTTAGGTGGCTGTAGTTTAAATATGTTTATGCTAGATTGTACTAGTGACAGTGATTCCAGTGGTGTAGAACAGGTTAATTAAAGTAGTTTACTTATTGAATGAAACTTTTAATCTTTATATGAATCTTTAAAGCATCATATGTTTGTGCAAGATGGAGTCAACAGCTCAGCATATCTCACATTTGTCAAGTGTTCAGATTAAGGCAGAACCTGATTCTGTTGAAACTCCTAATGGGACCACATTACTTGCTGTTCTTCAAGTCTTACAGAAATACAATCTCAAAGAAACAGAGGATCAGTTAAAAAAAGAAGCCAAAGTTTCTGATGTCCTTAAACAAAGGTCTGATTCAAAAGTAAGTAGTGTTCTGTCAACCCACAAGTCTGAAGGAAATGCCGATTTATATGAAGATGCATTTATGGACTTGAAAAAATTTGTTGATTCTTCCTTCGATGCTTTTAAGCATGAGCTTGGAAAGATACTCTATCCAGTATTTGTACATATGTATCTCGAATTGGTTTATAATGGCCATGAAGCAGAGGCCATTAAATTGATGGAAAGATTTGGGAAAGATCAGGAACATTATTACAGAGAAGATTTGCAACGGCTGTCCATGTTTACCAAAAGATATCAAATAAATGGAAATGAGATTACTGAAATTTTTAGGTCGAATGAGTTTATGATAAGAATATCTAGAGACACTCTAGCTACATTAAAAAGGCATTTATTAAAGAAAAAACAAAACATTATTTTAAAAATTATCCAAGAGCATCTCCATTTCGACACGTATGAAAGAGTAGCTCGAACAAACTCTCAGATTGATTCAGTTGCTGGTTCAGTGATTGGCGAAGCTACAAGGCAAGAAAATAAAGCCAAAGTATATTATGGCCTTCCAAGAGAGCCTGATTACCAATACACTGTCATTGAAGATGATGAAGGTGGTGATAAACCTAAGAAGAAGAAACCAAAAAAAGAATCTCTTTTTAATAAGAAATTTAAAACTGATCCTAATGCTCCACCCATGGATCAAATTCCGTTTCCTGAACTGAAGAATAATGACAAAACTGAAAAGATCAAAGCATTGAGAGAAGCTTCAAAAATGGTGAACTTAGGAGTTGATAGTTTACCATCCATTTGTTGTTATACATTGCTTAACTCAGCTCAGAGTGTCATTTGTGCTGAAATATCAGATGATTCAACTATTTTAGCAGTAGGGTTTTCTAATAATAAAGTGAAGGTTTGGAGTCTACTGACCCAAAAGCTCAAAGCAATGAAGTCAGCGGACCAGTTACAAGACATTGACTATGAAGCAGAGAATGTTTGGGCGCGAATAATGGATGAGAGAAATGCTGAATCTTCCCGAGTACTTTATGGTCATTTGGGTCCTGTTTACAATGTTTCTTTTAGTCCTGATAAGACACTCTTATTATCATGCTCAGAAGATTCAACAGTTAGGCTGTGGAGCCTTCTAACATGGACATGTTTGGTTGCCTATAGAGGTCATGTTTTCCCTGTATGGGATGTCAAATTTTCTCCTCATGGTTATTATTTTGTCACTGCAAGTCATGATAAAACTGCAAGACTATGGGCTACAGACCACCACCAGCCCCTCAGGATATTCTCTGGACATTTTGCAGATGTAGATAAAGTCCAATTTCATCCAAATTGTAACTATGTTGCCACTGGCTCTAGTGATAGAACTATAAGGCTCTGGGATTGTATTACAGGCAACGATGTAAGAGTAATGACTGGTCATAAGGCTGCCATACTAGCTCTCAGTTTTTCTACAGAAGGAAGATTTCTGGCTTCAGCTGGTTCAGATAATAGTCTGCTGTTGTGGGATATAGCACATGGACACTTACTTGCTCAAATGGTATCTCATTCGGGCCCTATACATTGTTTATCATTCAGCAGAGATGGAACTATTTTAGCCTCCGGTTCTTTGGATTGTACTGTGAAACTATGGGATTTCGCAAAATTGGTTGAAGATGTTAATTTAAATCACAATCCAGACATAATAAGTAATACAGTATCATATCTTTTGAGAACTTATGCTACTAAATCTTCACCTTTGATTTCATTGCAATTTTCAAGAAGAAATGTTCTCCTAGCTGTTGCCATGTTTGACACAAACATGTGAATTTTAACTTAACCATTTTTTTATTTATTTTATTTTAAATGTAGTTGTATTTAATCACGCTCAGTCAATTTTTTTAGTACATGTTTGATATGTTACCATTAAATGTTTAGAAGTTTATATTTTATTATGATTCTGTGTATTGTTTAAATTTACCTTCTTTTTTTGTAAGAATAATGTTTTAATAAAAATTAATTTGTTGTATATATTTATAAAACAGATGGGCATTTATAGTGTTTATCTTAGAAAAGTAAGATTATTGTGTATATCAATGTATATCCATCGTTTGGATAGACTGTTAGGGAAAGAAAATGATTTTGTTTTTTTAATAATTATAAATTCCAACTTAATATAACTAACTAAAATTTAAAATTTGTTTCCTTTAATAGCCTTTTTATTTATTTTGAGAAGTTTTACTGCAATATTGAAGTGATCTTTCAGTCTTATTATTACTAAAGATAGAGATATTACAATATTTATACTCTACTATGACTGTCCATGAAGGGCCTTGGCCTTCTTAACAATTCTCCTCTACTCAGAGAAGTCCTATATATATATATATATATATATATATGTTTAATTTAAATTTAAGCAACTTGGCCATAATTAACAATTTCATCAAACCTCTAATCTAGTTTTTGCATCCTCGATTTCATTATCTATTAAATGCTCTTCTTCATGTTGACTAGTTTCTGCAGCACTGCCAGTTGTTTCTAATTCTTTTAGTAGTTTTGATTTAATGTCCTCAACTTTTTTCATAACTTCTGAAACACGACGCAACTCTTTTCGAATATCCTGTAATTAGTTAATTTACTATTAATGAAACTATTGGTAACCATTTATACAACCATGAATACAAAACACTCACTTATCACTTATTAATTGACAAGCAAACAGTTTTAAAGATTTAAGAGTATGTGTGTGTGTTTTTTTTTTTGTACATTTATTTTTAATTTAAACAACAATGACTATGTATTTAAAAAGAACATCATGAAATTTTTATAATTATTCAAATACTAATAAAAAAAATAGTGTAGAATGTATAACAAATGCAGTATATGCAACATTAAAAATAAATAGTCATTATAAAGACATAAGGTTCTTTTCAAATACTTAAATATTCCATTTATTCATTTTATTCTTCTCTAATTAATTTTTAAACCTATTTTGGGCACATCTTTCTGAAGAGCTAATGACTCTACTTATTTATATAACAGCTATTTTTACCAAAGTTTAACTTGATCAGATAATCTGAAGTGCTGAAATCTGACTGCAAGATTTGGTTAACAGCTGTAAAAGTAATAAAAAAAAAAAAAATTAAAAACAGCAGTAGTTTTACAGACAATCTAATTTAATGGATCCCAGAAAAGTGGGACAGCTTCATTACTGGCATATTTTCTGTGGAAGTGCGAACAAATTGAAAAATGTTATTTTTTTTCTTGTTTCTGGGAAGTTGTCAATTTAATTTAGTTGTTTGGGAATAATAATAATTAAAAGTACTGCAAAAGAATCAAATTTACAATAGAAAAAGCCACAAACAATAGACTCAGATTTTTGGATATGGACATAATTATGGACAAAGGACAGATACTTACTAAATGGACAAAAAAAGAGAATACGAGTAATAGAATTCTTAACTTTAGCTCAAACCATCCCAAACATCAAATAATTAATACAGCCAAGAACCTAATTCACAAATCAATAGAACTCACTGACAAACCTTACATCCCACAAGTAAAAAGAGAAATATACAAAATACTTATCGAGAACTTTTACCCTATAAACTTAATCAACAAACTTTGGTACAGTCGATTACATACAACACTAAACCATAACAAAATTACAGCCAAAAAACAAACAATACAAAAAGCACCAGAAGAAAAAATTACAATAAGAAAACCCACACAACAATTCATCACCCAATTTTTTGAAAAAACAAATCCAACAAATGAAAATAATCAGGATAACATATCACAAACAAACAAAATGAACTTCAACTACTACTACAAAATGACATACATACCTGAACTTACTAACAAAATTAAATACGTGTTCAAAGATTATGACTTGACAGAAATTAAACTCGGAAAATACAATAACAAGAAACTAAGCAGGCACGTCACCAACATAAAAGATAAAATAGAACCAATAAACAAGAAAAATGCAATATATAAATTAAACTGTCAAAACTGCCCCAAAATCTACATTGGTGAAACATCCAAACAATTAGGAACTAGAATCTCACAAAACATCACCAACTGTAAAAATTCAAAAAACATAAACACAACAGCCTTAGCACATCACAGTATAAAACTACAGCATAAATTTAATTTTAACAAACCACAGATAATAGGCACAGAACCAAAAAACACCAATAGAAAATTACTCGAAGCAATACACATTATAAAAAACAACAGAACAACAGTCAACTACAAAACAAACAATAAACATTTAAGATCCCATTATACGGACATATTGGAACAAAATTAAAATTTAATAGAAGTGAAATCACAGACACATAAAATAAACACTCACAACAACAATAGAAATAGTCAGATAAAACAGTCAGATCCAAAGGTCAATTTTTCACTATGGCAGAAACCCAATTATTGGTCAAAAGAAGGATGTTGCTCTAGATGATAAATTTTAGAACATAAATTAGAAAATTGACGATGGAGCACATTATTATTATTAAATTTAAGATAATTACAAATTTATTGTAACAAACATAATTCAAATATGTAATGTAACAAGCACAATATTGTAACTTTTTAGCCTTGCATCCACAAGAGTATTGGAATTGCAGTTCTGAAGATGGGAATAAATGTCCCGAAACGTCAACTAACCTGTTAACATGTATAATTGGTAATTGGTTGACTGTCGTGGATAATGAAGAGAAGAATAGTTGGGGTGTTCAGTCAAAAAGGAAGGCAAAAATAAATGATAATATTTATTTTTGCCTTCCTTTTTGACTGAACACCCCAACTATTCTTCTCTTCATTGTTAACATGTAACGTTGATAGTAAAATATACTCATTTGTTAACAACTGGAAGTTATTATTGCCAAACAACTAAAAGAAAAATGTTACATTTTTCAGCTTTATCAGGACAGAAAATTGTTAATTGATATAAAACCATCAATGCCTTCCAATAAACCACTGAGCATCAAGATATTACATAGACATTAAAAATCAAGATATTGCAAAATAGGAAATTCGTTGGATGGGATTTATAAAGAAATCAGTTCACTAAAAGCTTCTTAGAAATAACTCCAACAAAGAATTTACTGAAATGAGTTGGCCATGGTAATGAATGAAAAAAAAAGCTATAGCTGTGAAATTCAGATTCTTATTTTAGGAAAAAATCTGGTGGAGTGTGTGGATCACACAACTTTCACTTAACATTCTACTAAAAGGATAGGCCTACCAGGTTGCAAGCATCCCCAAGCTCCTGATTCAAAACTTTTTGGGCCTGTTTCCTATCTGGTTCTGTTAATGTCCTATTAATTTAGTGACCAAGAAATGAATCTTGGTGCTCCTACTGTTTTATTTATTTCTTCCTTCCTTGCCATTTGGCTACACGGTTTTTGCAGAGGTGACAAATCATATGACATCTCAGCTGTTAAACATAAACATTTTTAACACTTTTCATACAAGTCTTAGACAATAGCAGCTGTCTATGGAGGTTTAAGTTACCCATGGTCACCTTGTACAGGATGCTCCAGTGATTCTTCAAATATTTAATATCTAAATATTTAATTTCTTAATGATAGTGGATTAATAATTTACTATTTTAGGTATATTAAAGAGAAGTTGGTTGGGGTATTCAGTGAACTGAAGAAAACAGTAAAAATAAATAAATTATATTTATTTTTGCTGACGTTATTTTGGCCCAAGTTTCAGGCCTATATCAGAACTGTTCTCATGAAAGATGCCATAAGACTCCTGATAGTTGTTTTACAGCACCTTTCGTGAACACACACACACTTGAAAATTGAACGCTTACATTATATCTTTGTAACCCATATCTTGCTTCATTCAGAACCTCTGCACGCATATGCATGACAAACTGGTCATATTCCATTCTTTCTTGATTTACTGCAATCATTTTTTCAGTTTCTAATAGTTTCAGAAATCTGAAAATAAAACAGTATAAATATAAATTAAATAATTCAGTTAAAATATAAAAGGAATCAAATCTAAATTATAGTAATTTTTATTTTTATTAATAGTAGAATATGGACTTATTTTTTTTTATAACAACTTATTCAGTAATATAACTTGCAACATTGGTAGGGAAATACATCAAGGGTGATAAATATTCAGGACGCAGTCATTATAAAGTTTTTATTGATGCCGACGTTTCAACCCAAATGTGTGGGTCAATGAATCAATAAAAAATAAAATATATTGGTATGAGGACGTTATCAAAATCATTAAAGACCTTTGACCTTTGACGTTTGAATATAAGCTTTGAAAATATTGCAAAATTAAAAAATAAATTAGGTCAAGTTAGAGATATATTAGAACAAGACTACCAAAAATACATCATGGAATTTCATCATTTGGAATATCATTTGCCTAATAGCAAAATCGCACTTCCACAACTGTTGCCTGATGGAAAAAAAAACCTTTAGATCCCACTACACAAGACTGTGGTGCTGGATTGCGTAAGTGGGAAAATGCTAAAAGAGTTATAACCAACAGTAGATTTGAATGGGTGATTAATTTCTTTTCTCTATTTAAGTCCGTTGGCACTGATGAGATCTTTCCGGCATTACTGCAGAAAGAAGATTTTCCATTGAATTTTAGGATTTTCAGTGCTGGAAAACTCTTGATACAATTGGTCCAAGGAGAAATTTTCTGTACAAATTTCTCCTCCAACTTTGTGTTTGGCCTAAGAATTCGTTAATTGTAAAAGTGACAGCAAATTTAATATCGGAAATTGGAAATGTTTTATTTTATGATGGTATGTTCCAAGTCTTCAAGATTAATTGAATTGTTTATATTAAGATGTTCAAAATAAATTATTGAATATATGATTTATTACTAAAAAAAAACGGTGCATTTTATGTTTTTTCTTCTTTTTCATTTTGTCTTTCTATTCATTTCCTCTTGGCAGCATTTTTCTGATAGGCAATATTTTGTTATTTCGAAGGAACTTTTAATGGCATCCCAATGCAATTCCATCAGAAATGTAAATATTGGCTTAGGAATTGTTAAGTATACTTAGGAAACTCCTTAAAGACCCTAAAAATATTTTTTAACTTTCTTTCCATTCATCAGATCAAGGATATCAATAGTTTAAAACCATCTGCAGACTACACAGACTATTTAAAAAAAAGAAAGTGTAAATCGCTCCAGCAGTTTATGCGATTAGTTGTTACAAACAAGAAACTGCAATTGCATTTTATGTAATAATGTAGATAATAAAAAAATAGCAATCACTATTCACCATAATGATTTATAAAATCATTTATAATAATATAATATATTAACTGAAACAGCCAAACTACCAAATGTTTCTGAGATGAGTACTCACGCAGTAACAATATCTTCTGGATAGTTATTCTTAAGTCTAACAACATTATGTTCAGAAGGTCTGTCCCTAACAGCTTCAGTTAATATAGGATCCATTTTAGGATGTCTGATTGCACTGGAAACATCCAAAAAAGTAATTTTATCCTTTTCATGCTCAACCAGAACCTTTTCAAGTTGACTTAGAGCCAGCTCCCTTTCTTCTGCCTTAAAATATATAAAAATAAAATTTAACTAATTAATATATCTAATTATCACTTGAGTATACTTAATACCCTTTAGTCACTGGTAAATATAATAAAAAATGAAATTATTTAATAGATTATGATTAGTTTGACTAAAAAGTAATATTGGATTTTTCTATATTTGACTAACTTCAAATTGATGAAGTTTTTTTTTTTATCCCTTTTTCTAGATCATTCTAATTTGGATAATATGCAAGTCAGTAGGCAGATGAGATACATAGTATTTAGTTAGCAATTGAAATATTGACTGTCAATTCACAATTGTTATTACTTATTTAAACAGATCTACAATCCGGAGTGAGTCATGGTCTGTTGCAGTTTAAATTTTCAATCTATTTTTTGTGGCTGTTCTTTAGTTTCTGTGAAGAAAGATTTTTCTTGCATCTTAGTTTATTTCGGATTTACCTTTTCTTATTTTGTTTAAGGGAAAACAGAATTCTCAACAGATCTATGTCCATCTTGAGTAGTAGATTTTTAATATAAAATTCAATAGGACCGTTTTTGATTTATTTTGAACTAAAATATATCTATCCTGCAATAGGATTTTTTTTTACTATAGTATGTCCCCATTACTAAATCTCTGACAATGTAGCTTTTGTTCAATATATATTTAATAAAAAAGTAACATAGAATTTGTATAATTCTATAGAAAATGAAAAATTCCTTCTTATTTTTATGAAAATGAGATAAACAATGTAACAATCGACTTTTGAAATAATTCGGATATAGTAAAATTTAGCCAAATCCTGAGATATCAGTTTCAAGAGATATAGCATATATTATTTCCCACAAACATATAAATATTTGGGCAGGTTCCTCAACTCATTGATGGAATTTAGAGTTTCTAATTATAATGACACAGTGGTTACAATGGCTTTTGGGGTCGATGAATCCGCTGGATCACGGGCAGATCTACAGGGGGGTGGGGCTTTCGGGCTAAAGCCTCCCTCTCCAAAATGGTAAAATAAACCATATTTTATGGAAAAAATATCTTTAAAAGTATTATTGTTCGTCTAATTAGAGTTAGTAGGACTTCAACAATCACTTAAAGACCATTTCATATAGTTAGTTAGTTTCTTTTTTTCTTCCGAAGTCATTATCCTAATATATTTAAAAAAAAAAAATCTTTCGGGCTGAAGCCTCCTCCCCAAAAAAAATTTAATCCTGGATCCGTTAGTGAGCTGGATGAAATCACAGTGTTGTTATATCTATATTTACATTACATATTTATATTCAGTTAATTTTCTATCTATATGGGTAAATTTATAAAGTCAGCACTGACTCATGGATGACATCTGATCCGTTTCTAAACTAGGCGAAACGATGAGTTTAGCAATTTGCCCATTTTATATCTGTTGTGAAATTTAACAAATCAGTACGTATGTATTTATTTATATATCTTTTATTTTTCATGTGCTTTGAAACCTTCCTGGAATTGTAACTTTCCACTGAAATTCACCAGGTCATTCCTGAACTCAGCCTATATCACTGCCCTTTGGTACTGGTAAAGTGTCACAATTAAAACAAAGTTATCAACTTACGTTAATCAACTTCTTTAATTTAGGATATCCAAACTGAAAAGCATTAATAGTGATAATTCTCGAAGTTAAAAAAACAAAAACAGGCAATATATAAACACAATAATCATAAATAATTTTATAATGATGTAGAGATGGTTGACCATTGATATAATATGAGAAATTAAATAATTACTATATTTTAATTTAGTATTCATTTGACCGCACCTCCCGATCAACTCCTTCTCATAAATAATATTAGAAATATATAATGGAAACAAAAATTGATTGAGGTAATATGTGTCTATAAATAACATTGAAAATAGAAAGTTTGCTTAATCGATGTACTGAAGAGACAAAATTAAAAAAAAAGGCTCGTAATATATATTCTAATGGTTATATTTGGTAATTGTTTGTAATGAACGTAAGGTGGAGGGGTCAAGGGCTGACAAGACTACCCCTCCGCAATAGTGGTGCTGTCTGATGCTATCTGTTGTAAATCTATCTATCCTTATCATAATGGCCCTACAACTCTCAGTGGGTTCTGACCTCCTCAATGGGCTTCCGCCAAATTTCTCTATTCTGAGCGGCCACTTTCCAGTTTCTGATTCCCAACAGGCCACTAGTGTCACCTGCCATACCATCTACCTATCTCCATTTCAGTCTACCAGAGCTCTCCTACTATAGTGTAATGGCTCCTCAAGCACTCGTATCAGGATTTCAGACCTCTCCATCCGAGCTGTGTGTCCTGCCCAACTCAGCCTTCCTAACTTTATTATTCTAGCCACATTAGGTTCATTAAACAATTCGTAGACCTCCCTATTTTTTCAAAATTATCCAATCCAGTCCCCCCTATCCAGGCCCAAACATTCTTCTAAGGATTTTCCTTTCAAAGACCAGAAGGTCTTCGTCATTTTTAACTGAGGTCCATGTTTGGCTACCCTAGGTAAGAACTGGCCGGATGAGCGTTGTATAGAGATGCAGCTTTGTTCTTCTACTAAATAGTAAGTTTCTCATGTGCTTAAGTAGGCCAAAATAGCATCGGTTGGCAGTTGTTATTCTCCCCTTTATTTCAAATGACGTCTCATTTTTTTTATGTAGTTTGAGATCTTAGAAAGAGAACTGTTGGACATTCTCAAAGGTGTAAGTTCCTAGAGATATTCTTCGGTTTTGGGGATTCTCTCCATCTCCTGAATACATACATTTTGTTTTATTCTCATTAATATGGAGCCCCATCTTAGCTGAAGCTTTCCTTACCGTCCGCTCCCAGTATTTTGTAGTACCCAAACTCCTCACCTCCCCTTAGAATCTTTATCCTTGTCCAGAGATGTCACACAAGGCTCCTCCTTGTCTCCCACCCTTTTTTCCATCTACATCAATGACCTTCCATCCTCTATCCTACATTGTCAATAACATCTGTATGCCGACGACGTCCAGATTTACCTCTCCTTCAATCCGACCGAATCCTCTGATGCCATCCAAAAATTACAGAAAGATGTAAACGGAATTTGTGCCTGGGCAAACCATAATAGGATTACTCTAAACTCCAAGAAGACGAAAGCCATCCTGATCGGATTTCCCTAACTCCTCTATTCCTTACCTGAACAACTCACCTATCTCATTTCATACTTCCGTAAAAAATCTTAGTGTTACCTTTGTTCAAACCCTCTCCTGGAAATCACACATCTTCCAAATGTATCGTCGTATCATCTCTACCCTGAAACAGTTTAACGGTCTCCGCTATCTCCTTCCATATAAATCCCGTCAACTGGAGGTTTTCTCTCATGTGTTCCCCCACTTCGACTATGGCTGTCTGGTGTACGGCGGACTCTCGGGAGAATTCGAGGCAAAACTTAAACGCCTTATGAATTTTGCAATACGTTTTGTTTTCAGAACTCCAAATACGTATATAACCCAGTTGAAGTGGATGAATAGAGATCCAACCGCCGTCTGTAATTCCTTTCCAACATTCTGTTCCAAGACATGAGAACTCAGCGACCTTCCTATATTTTTTACAGCCTACAATTTAAGTATTCCATTCAATTCCGTCCCACTATATTTTGTATTTCCGACCTCTATCCACCTCCTCATCGAACTGCTGCGTTTGACAAATCCTTTATAATTCAATCCGCCTCCACCAGGAATACCATCCCTCCCGATACCCGACATGCACAATCAGTTTCCACATTTAAATCTTTCCTTTTTAAGCACCTACTTCTTTCCGAACCGTATTGATCACGAAATGTAGATAAGAGAACTTTTTAAGTTTCCCCAGAAATTACTTTTTTTACTTATGTTATTTTATTTTCGCATATTTGTTTATATATATATATATATATATATATATATATATATATATATATATATATACATATATATAAAACAAATATAGATGTATGTTTTTTTTCTTCTTTCCATATTTTTATTTTAATGAGATTTGTAAATATTTAATTTAACATCGTAGGAGCGTAAAGTAGTCACCCACCATTTATTCCTGGACTTTAAAGCAGCATATGACAGCGTTGATAGAACGCAACTATACTGTGCCTTGGAGGAGCTAAGCATCCCTCAGAAGCTCGTACGCCTAATCAAGATGACCATGGACAGCTCGAGATGCAGAATACGCGTCGGTTCTGACGACTCCGAAGAGTTTAAAGTGAGCAGTGGGGTTAGGCAAGGGGATGCCCTCGCCTGTCTATTGTTCAATTTGGCAGAGGAGAAAGCTGTAAGAGACTCCGGTATTCAGACCAAAGATATAATCTTCAATCGCCTGACACAGCTTCTTGGTTTTGCTGATGATATTGACATAATAGGTAGGTCTGAACGAGCTCTCAGAGAAGCGTTTATAAGCCTTGAAGCAGCTGCAAGACCACTTGGTCTAGAAGTCAACGAGAGGAAAACTAAGTATATGAGAGTTGGCGGTGAGGTGGATCTGAACTCTCCATTTGAGGTAGGTTCTTTTAAGTTTGAGAGAGTGAAAAGTTTTATATACCTTGGGTCTGAAATTAATAGCAAGAATGACATGGCTCAAGAAATACAAAGAAGGATCACGGCTGCCAATAGATGTGTCTTTGGACTTGGCCGACACTTAAGAAGTAGGTACCTCTCAAAGAAGACCAAGCTGATCATATACAAGACCCTTGTTCGGCCTGTTTTGACATATGGCTCAGAGGCTTGGACGATGACTAAAAGGGATGAGATGAAGCTGAGTGTCTTTGAGCGAGGAGTCCTCAGAAGGATTTATGGTCCAGTAAAGGAGGGTGATGTCTGGAGGAAAAGAAAAAATAGGGAGCTCAGTTCTCTCTATGCAGACATCGACGTAGTCACGTATATTAAACTGGCCAGACTAAGGTGGGCAGGGCATGTGGCCAGAATGAGCACCCTTGAAATACCAAAAAAAATAATGATGGAGGAGCTGCACCTCGTAAGACGGGTAGGAAGGCCGAGGACGAGATGGTTGGACAACGTGGCCTATGATGCGAGAACCCTGCTTGGTGTGCGGAACTGGAGAGCTGCAGCAGAAGACAGAGCCAACTGGCGGAGGCTCTTGGAGGAGGCCCAGTCTCGGTAACGGGATGTTGTGCCATACATGATGATGATGATTCAATTCCGTCCCACTATATTTTGTACTTCCGACCTCTATCCACCTCCTCATCGAACTGCAGCGTTTGACAAATCCTTTATAATTCAATCCGCCTCCACCTGGAATACCATCCCTCCCGATACCCGACATGCACAATCAGTTTCCACATTTAAATCTTTCCTTTTTAAGCACCTACTTCTTTCCGAACCGTATTGATCACAAAATGTAGATAAGAGAACTTTTTAAGTTTCCCCAGAAATTACTTTTTTTACTTATGTTATTTTATTTTCGCATATTTGTTTATATATATATATATATATATATATATATATATATATATATATATATATATACATATATATAAAACAAATATAGATGTATGTTTTTTTTCTTCTTTCCATATTTTTATTTTAATGAGATTTGTAAATATTTTCATTTCATTTCATTTAATTTCATGAGCGCCGATCAATTCGCGAGGTCCTTCAAACATGAACGGTGTACCATTGTACGAAATATGATAAACATCCCATTACTGGCCAGCCAGAAGTGTCCCATACTCCTAATTCACCGTTATTGGACGTTCAGGTCGATATCTTTACTTGGGAAGAGTCGCATTGGCTTACAGTCCTGGACAAATTAGCCATAACACCGAATAAAACGAAAGTAGCTGTTTGGGACAGTATGTTCAGTTGGATGCCATGCTATGGAGTACCTCACAGTATTACGTTATACGGTGGGAGGGAATTTCAGAACACCCGTACCACTACGGAATGCTCGGATTTAAACATAAAGTGACATTTTAATTCTCCGGGTAACCCACAAGCACGTGGGACTATCGAACACCTCGACAACACCTTAGAGGAACATTTTCGATTATTCCGTTTGCATAGGGGACTAGGAGCTATCGCCTATGCAATGCCTCGAGCGGTGCTGGCATACAACAATACCATCCATTCCCTACAGGTTTTACACCAGTGGAAGTAGTATTCGGTAATCCACTACGGAATTGGGGAGACTTACAAACGTTACTAGATTTCGTTAGGTATGAAGCTTTACTGTCAACTATCGTCCAGTCGTCGAAAGGGGGATTAACGAAGGACCTGCGCCTACGCATATAGCCCTTCGTTAAAGCTCAGTAAGCTACAAATAAAGTTTGTGAAACTCACAGCTTCCATCAACTTTTCAATTTTTTTCTCCAAAGCACAAAGCCAACTTCTTTTGTTGGTGTGGCTGATCTCTGATGCATCTATTTTTCCTTCAGCCATGATATCCAACTGTAAATTTAAAATGTAATTACTGATAAGATCAATATCTAAATTTATAACAGAAATATTTATGCTCTATAAATTGAATTTATATTTCAAGATCATCAATTGCAGGAATTCAGGTTTTGTTACTTGTATTATCTCAGAATGAAATGGCTATGACTATGGTTATTGTTATGACTAATAATGTTTTTAACTGTAATAATTTATTTGATAAAAAAACTAATCACTCTTTTTACAAATTTGAGCAACTATAACAGATGAAGTCCCTTTCAATGAGTAATTTGACCTGGACAAGGATATCAGAACTGTATTGGTTGTAAAACTAAATAGGCACAATTTTTTTATTCTGCATAGGGGCATTTTACAATTCATACAAATATTTTACCATTAATACAAAGTTATACAGTACCTGTAAGTCTTCTACCATCTTTTCAATCATTGGATCATAAATTTCACACCCAGATTCAACACTATTGGCTATTTCTCTAATTCTTTGCATCAGACCATAATAATATGGAAGTAGCTCTGAACGATCCTTTTGTGGACTTCTTTTTGAGATTACGTTTTCCAGTTTTTCATAGATCTGAAGTTAAAAAAAAAATATTAATATTGAACTAAAAGATTTTGAATTTATTCAAATTTTTACCTGATCATTTTCCTTAGATTCACTGCCACAAGATTTTTTTCTTCTCATTTTACTGGGATCACTAAAAAATGTATTTATTACTAGTTTATAAGACAAAATCACAATAATCTGATCAAATTTTAATAAAACTAAAATAGGATGATAGTAACCACATTACAACATGTAATGTATCCACATCATTACAGTTCCAACAGAGGTAAAGGAACCATAGATGCCTGTAAGTGTTCCATGTTGTCAAAGGTATGGCGGAGTATCATATAATGTTGTTTGTAGTCAATAGCCCTACCTACATATGACACATCCTCTCTCTAATGTACTCTAGCTATTGCAAACGATAGAATGGCCCGCTGGACAACAGGTCCATGCTGCAAGTGAGGAACTCTGGGATCATAATAACAGGTGGAAGCTAGAGCTGAAGGTCAGGACTTCACATCAAGTTGTAGGACCATAATTTTAATTTACTGATTACTCGGTCAATGGCTAATCTTGTACTAGACTAGAACTTAATAAATCTAGGATTCATTTATTTATTTTTTTTAATGGAGGTAATTACTCTGGAAGAATAAGAAAAAAAATAACTATATGAAATTATCTTAAATTCTTTAAATGCTTTTTAAAGCAAAATGAAAACTAATTACAGAACAATAATGCATTCAAAGATAAATATTTTAAATTGACACGTAGTTACATTGGGTAGCATTTTTTTTATATCCATGAATTCAAATTTAAAAAGAGAAGAGGAGAATCAAATTGCATAGCTCCTAATGTAGTTCTTCACCACCATACTTGGAGAATTTCTGCAGGTATCTTATTTGGTTCTGGGCACTTGTGATTGTTCAATCGGCCAACAGCCTCAATCAATCACCTCTTCTGGATCTGGAGGAGTTTCAAGAGCTTCTTCTTAGTCCTATTCAGTCCGACTCCTTTCTTCTAGTGCTGTTCCATTTCCCTCATTTAAAAGCTTCTCAAAATGAACGGCTCATCTTTTCTTTCTTGTCTAGAAACGTTCCTTCTTAATCCTCCCAAGTAATAATTTTTGGTAGGAAGGCTGATTTTACTTGGTTTATCCTCTGAAAGAACACCTGGTTTTCATGTGCACTCTTCAATCTTCTGCAGTTTGATCATTTCCCGGTTGGCTAGACCCCCTACAATGCACCCCCCTCCCTACATCCTTATAAATTGCATATCGTTGTGTTCCTTGTAACTATTTATTAAAAAAAGCCAATGTTCCCACAAAAAAAGTCCAAACATGGCGGATTGACGACTTTGACTTTAGTTAGTTTTTTGGTCACTGAGAATCAGCACTTGGCTTAATTTCCTCATGGTTGGTCTTTTATCAAAGCTGAATAGTCAGAAAATAATAAAACATAAACAAGTATTAAAAAATAATTAGCTTAGGCAATAAAAAACACCAGTAAAATCAAACATTTTAACAAAAAAATATTCAAGTTGGGAATCAAGCGTCGTTTGTAATTTAACGTCCAACAATAACGCAAAATGTGCTGAAATAAAACATCTGGAAAATATATTTCTCTTATTACTGTTTAAAATATTTGAAGCAGTTCCGTAGAAAATGCACCTATGCGGGAGAAAAGCGGTGCCGGCGTAGGTTCCTACAAGCCTCTACCACATCATTCTGTACAGATAATTTGGTATATTATATTAGTTTTATTAACGAACAAATATTAATGCAAGCAGTTGATTGTCAAAAAAAAATTAAACAATTTTTAAAAAAATTATTTATTTATTTAACTTTTTTATTTATTAAATTTATTATTTTATTTTCTTTTTTTATTCAAGTTACTTTATTCTATACGGAGGTCTTTTATTGAGAAATCTATTGTAAACATGATATAATTATAATAATAAAACTTAATTAAAAAATACTTTGCTGAATATCTTGAATTTTTTATTTAACGTTTGTAATTTAACACTTTGTTTTGTATATTTACTGATTCTTAGAGGCAATTTAAATTGTATATACTTTCCAGGAAACGAGTCATGTTAATACCTGTTTTATAAACTAAAATAATATATACCTAATCTGAACTACGCATAATGAATAGTTGAAGGGTTGTTTAGTAAAATTCATATATCCTATTAAAAAAATCATTTTTAGTTTCTTTATTTTGTTCAGAAGTTGGACCATATCATCAAAAAATAGGAAATTTTAATATTGAATGCATTATTCTCTCTGCACAAAGAGAGGAAAGGGCAGAGCTATAAGTTCTTCTAGGTAACTGGAACTGATTGTTATTATTAGGTCTCAAAATGAGGGGAAACGTGAAATTGAATCCAAACATTGGAAAAATACATTGAGGGAACGACAAATTAAGTGCCAAAATTTCCGAAAAGAAAACAAGGATCAGTATCCATTACATGGCTAAACGAATATATAGTAGAGATGAATAGAATATTTCAAGATGCTGCTAAAAGGGGTTCAAATGGAGTTTAGTAGTTTGGCTTGATATTAAGTGCACGATGGAGGTTTATTTCAACATAATAGACCACTTTATTTTCGATTGCTACTGAAGTTGCACACTGGCACTATCTTCACTTTGAAGCAGGTTATATAGAGGTCTATCGAGAAAAGGAAATAGCTCTCCTTCTGTTTAGTGCATTTGCAAAAGATTTTTTTTTTCAATTTTTTGATGCAAAAGAGGAAAACAATCCAAAGTGTGAGGCACTTAGCAGATAGAGAGCTATTTTTCTTTCTCGATGGACTTCTCTATAACCTGCCTTAAAGTGAAGACAGTCCCGATTTGCAACTTATGTTCCAATGTGCAACTTGAGTTTCTCAATCCATATCGCTCAGGTAATCGACAATCTTGTTCTTATTCTAGCTTCTACGATTGTTGAGTAGAGTTTCTTTGGTACACTAAACAGGAATGAATCTGAATGGGCATTACATTTCCTAGTATCTCCTCTTACTTGTAAACCGATAAAACTAGTCTTTTCATATCATTTTCAATTTTTTTTTTTATTTCTAAGCCTTTGTACGCACAGCATTTCGGGTAACTTCGTCCAGACCAGCTGACTTGCCAATGGCTTCAAACATCTCTTTCTTGCTGATAAAATGGTCTTTACCATAATAAATCTGCATCGTTCCCTTAATATCATCCAAACTTCTTCAGTATTTGACTTCTAGAAGCACCTTGAAATATCCTGTTCATCTGTCCACTATATATTTGTTTTGAGACCAAATACTAACAATCAATTCCAGGTACCTAGAAGAACTTATAGCTTCCCTCTTTCCCTTTTTCTTTCTGCAGAGAGAATAATGCATTCAATATTGAAATTTCCTATTTTTTGATGACATGGTCCCACTTCCGAACAAAATAAAGGAACTAAAAATGATTTTTTAAAATAGAGATATATGAATTTTACTAAAAACCCCTTCAACTATTCATTATATGTAGTTCAGATTAGGTATATATTATTTTAGTTTATAAAACAGGTATTAATATGATTCATTTCCGGAGAAGTATTTAAAATTTAAGTAACCTCTATGAATCGTTAAATATATAAAACAAAGTGTTAAATTGCAAACGTTAAATAAAAGATTCAAGATATTCAGCAAAGTATTTTTGAATTAAGTTTTTTATTATAATTATATAATTTTTGTTATAGAGGCCTTCTTAAACGATCTCCATATAGAAGGAAGTTAAATAAAGAAAAATAATAAATTAATTTTTTTTTTAACAGCACGTTTTGCGTTATTGTTGGTCGTTTAATTACAAACGACGCTTGATTTTGAAAACTTTTTTGTTAAAAAAATTGACTATACTGCTGGTTTTTTATGGCCTAAGCCAATTATTTTTTAATATTTTTCCATGTTTTATTATTCTCTGACTATCCAGCTTTAGTAAAAGACCAACTATGACGTAAGTAAGCCAAATGATGATTCTCAGTAACCAAAAAACTTACAAAACTCAAAGTTGGCAGGCACTCAGCCATATGTGGACGCCATTTTGGGGCAGTGCGTTCACTTTTTTTTGTGGGAACATTGGCTTTCCTTTTTAATAGATAGTACAAGGAACACAACGATATGCAATATGTAGGGATGTGTTGGAGGGGAGGGGAGGGGAGGGGAGGGAGAGAGGAGTGCACGATAAGGGGGTCTGGTCCACAGACTAGGGTATTTTTCTTTCCTCGGTGCACTTTTTTCTTCTCCCTTCTACATCTTCTGTTGCCTGATTTGTGTATCTTCTCTGTCACATTCTTCTATATACTTTATTTTTTGTTCCTGAGACACAACTGCATTCTTTGATAATTAAGTTTAGGGAGAGGGAGAGCAGATTATTGTCCCACTACCTCCGATTAACAAATATGGCTAAACTATTTCCAGTTTGGAGAGGGACTTCAACGCAAAAGCTCCCCTCTTAAATCTGCCAGTGCACTAGTCTTAGCATATCCTGACCTACCTCTCGTTCTAACAATGGTATAATAAATTATGATATATATTAAATCCACAACTGTTTTAAATCAAGGCTAAATGAAAATAGGAATGACTTTTTTTTTTATACTTGGAGTAAATATGATCTGATTAAATCCAAGACAGGTAACTCTTTAGAACTAGCGGATCCAGGATTTAATTTTGGGGAGAAAGCTTCAGTCCGAAAGCTTTATTTTCCATAAAAATGACGATAATTACTTTGGAAAAAAAGAAAGAAACTAACTATCTATATGAAATGGCGTTTAAGTGATTCCTTAAATTCTTTTAAATGTAATTACACGAACAATAATACTTTAAGAGGTAATTTTTTAATATATTTTTCCATAAAACATGGTTATATTTTACTTCAGACCGAAAGCCCCTCCCTCTCTTCTCCCCCTTAGATTCGTCCGTGCTCTTTAGTGAACAACCAACAGAATTATTAAAGAATTCAGATGCCTCAGTTTTATATTTATTTTCCTTTATTTATTAATAAAATTAAGATAATTTACTATTGACTATGACTGAAGTTACCCAGTTACGCATGTAACTAGGTACATCTTGTCTTTTGAGGACACTTAAGTGACTGTTGGAAAACATATGAAAAAAAAAAAATTATAAAACAAAATATACCAACCAAATAACTAACTACAAACTAAGCTAGTTGCAATGCATTAAGACCGAGCTCTGAAAAGAGACTGCTTTCTGTTTAACACCACCGGTACTGCCGCTCACCACCACTCTACTGTCTGCTGCTACTCTGCTTCATTTATTTGCTTTTACTTTATACCCGATATGGTATCCTGTACATTATGCAAATTAACAATCACTAGGGATGATAAAACCATCATAGCATGTTTTAATTGTTAAAATATATATCACAGTAAATGCGTTAATATTTCTGATATCAAAATTTTAAAGAAAAATAATGGTTTTTTCGCACTTCTCAGTATTTCTAGCCGAGCTAGGAAAAATTACTGATGATATCAAAGATATTAAAAGTACCGTCGACTAACAAGCAACGATAACATTTGAAAACTCGGAACGGCTCAAGGCGATGGAAGAACATTCCAATAGACAGGAGGAAAATAATAAATTAAAAACTGAAATTAAAAATACGGAGATCAAGCAAGCCCAGTTTTCCCATTCAATCGAGTTCAGAGGGATTTCCACGAATACCGGGGAAACGGGGATAGTTTTGTCCTTGGGGGTGTGAAGCTTAATACTGAGGAAGATTTGGTGGAAAGAATGCGTCCTAGAGGAGAGGACACCCGGCCACCGTCGATCGTCATGCGTTTTGTCCGCCAGATTATTCGAGACGAGGTGCTTCGATTCAAGAGGATAAAAAGGGGTTTCATAACCTTGCACCTCAGTTGGGATACCGATGAAAGAATATATATTGGCGAAGAAATGACCACGTACAATCGTTGTCTTTATTGGCTGGCGAGACAGAAAGGCGACGGGAAAAATAAGATATGTATGGTTCTCTATAGGGCGTGTCAGGTGCAGAAAAGACAACGGCTTGCAGTTAGTTGTCATTAACAAAGCCGAAGACTTGGATGTGTTTCAATGATGCAAACACAATTGTCACCTCTCCGTTACATATTCCGTTAATAGTCATCAGTTTTTCTTTATTTATTATTTTAATTTATGTATCTCAGTATTTAATTTTTCCCACAAGGAATATTATTTTGTTTCTTTCTTAACTGAAAATTCAGAGTTTTGTTTCTTTACATTTTTTTTTTGCTTATCTTTGTACATGTGTTTACATTCATTCTGTTTTTCTCTCTATTATTATTTACCTTTTTATATAGTTTGAAAAATCTCTTATTTTTACCAGTTGTAAATTCCATTTATTTTGTTAAAACATAAAATTGTCCGTCTCATTTTTTGCTGCTCTACCATCTTTCATTTATTTTAGGAAATTTAAATTCATATAATTACGATTGTCCCGTTCCTTTCCAAACTTTCAGTGATGCACTTCCATTGTTTATCCTTCCATTTCTAGTATGCTATTAACGTGTCACGTTAACTCCCAATCTCTTCCGGCCTACTTTGATGAACCCATTGATTATTTCTTCCACAATTTTTACCATATTATTGCCGTCTCTGAAATCTGGCTTAAAACAAACAATATTTCCTCCTCTGTATCCATCTCTAACTACGGACTCATTCGTCATAATCGAACGGATCGTAGAGGTGGTGGTGTTGGTCTTTACGTTCATGAAAGTCTGAGTACAAAAATCCTTCACAAGATTTCCTCTCCCCACTTTCCTCATGTTTGGTATTTATTTGTCGATATTTTATCAGAATCTTTTTCCCTCCTTTATGTCACTACATATCACCCTCCTCAATTCCGATTTGATCCTGCCTTAGAATCCTCTCTATTTACTTGCGTTCAGTTATACAACCCACTCACCATACCCAGTTTTTCCTTGAGTCGTGGAAGATTCTTAAAAATCTCTCTATAGTAATATCAAAAACCTGTACCTCCTATCCTGTTTCACCCGATCAACTGAATTCCAACTTGGCCGATCCTATCTCAATATCGTTCTCCTCTTCATGCTGCTTTCCTTTGACCCTACAAATTTTTACTTTACAAATATCTCACCGAAAGACCTGCTTTCCTCAGTCCTCAAATCCAGAACAATCCAATGACTACGGTCCGGATCTAATGCCAGTGAAATTAATCAAACTATGTCTTCCTGTCATCTTTCCAGAACAGTGCATGTTTACAATTTTTCCCTACAAAATTCCAGATTTTCATCAGCTTGGAAAAAATATATAGTCCGCCCATTCAGCAAAATTCCAGTTCCCTCCAAGTTTCCGATTTCAGACCCATCTACATCGTCTCTAACCTTTCTAAACCTCTCGAAAGACTAATCCATTCACAGCTTAATACCTTTCTTGAGCAAAAAGCTCTCCTCAATCCCCCTCAGTCTGGTTTCCGATTCCAGTTCTCCACCCAACCTAATTTGTTGCGAGGGGAGGCCCCCCCTCCCCACCTGGAAGCTGGAAAATAATTCTAAAAAAGTTACGAAAAAACTATTTAAAGAAAAGAGAAATACAGGGGAAATTCATCCTCATAGATGAATTCCTAATGTAATAGAAAAAAAACAAAAAAAAAAACGTTCCTAAGAGCAGCTATTTGAAGAAAAAAGAAATATAGGGAGAATTCATCCTCATAGACCAGCACTATCGAATTCTGACAGAGGGCCCGCCCTCCTTTGGACGGTGGAAAAAAAAATCCAAAAAACATCTATTTAAAAAAATGAGAAATATAGGGAAAATTCATCCTGATAGGCGAATTTCCTAATGTAATAGAAAAAAAAATTATCTTGGCCAGCATTAGCGAATTGTGCCAGGGGGCGCACCCTTCCTTGGATGGTGGAAAAAAAGTTCCTAAAAACACCTATTTAAAGAAAAGAGAAATATAGGGAAAATTCATCATCATGAACGAACTTTCAAACGTACTATTAAAAAAAAATTGTTATCACGTCTGTTTTTATTAATATTAAGGTCTATCATATTACGTCAACTCACCAGGCTGCGGCGCATGGCGAGATTTTGTAAAACCAAGAATAGAATGTAAGAGCAAAAGTTGGCTCGTAAGTTGAAGTGGTCTAGTTTTTGGGTCACCTTGAAATGCGAAGGCTAGTGATCCAGCGTAGTTTGTTCATACTCAGTCCGAACTGAGTCTCGCAAGTGGAATACATGATGGAGGAAAATTAATTAATAAAAAAAAAAAAAAAATTATTCTTTCCCCTAAACATTTATTCGAGCCCAAGAAAATACAATTTTTCTCCCGGATCCAGTTTTTATTCATTTCCAGTAGATCTGGACGCATTGCAACCTCCTGTATCTATTTAGCCTCCTTGAAGAATCCATGGGGTACAAAAAACTGGTCACGAAAATTATTTGTATATTTCTCATTAAAAAGTGTTGTTCTTTTCTTAAAGTAGTTGCTGTTGGAAACGTTTTCATGAAGGAAGGTACTAATTATTTGGTTTCCGATTTGATCATAATCTGAATCGGAAATTATTCTGAGTTTTCTTTTTTATAAAACTCATTTCCAAGCTGCAGGGCCATTTACAGTAATCTGTCTCAGATTTTGACTATGTTGGTAAAAATTAGCGTTCATTGACCGTGGTTATCCACCAATTAATTAATCAAATTATTAAGTTTTGGTTCGACTCGTTCGACGAACGATTTGACGTTCTTTAATTTCTTAAAGAATACGTTTTTCGCTTTGATCCATGTTTAGTTTTAATATATGAAAAAATAAATCAGATAAATCTGGATTTTATGGCTGTAAATAGTTTTCTCTCGGTGACCTGTGTAAGCAATTTTTTTTTTTACATTTCTAAACCCATATACAGGGTGTACCGTAAGTTATAGCACACATTGAGCACGCATTGAGTTAGAGAACTCAAGAAACAAAAAAAAGTTAATGCAAACAAAATTTCAATTTTCAGCAGGAAAGTAAGAAATTAAGTTTTGTAACTTTTTAAGTAAGTAACGTTTTTTTTTGTGAATAGGAAGTGATAACGATTACTTCACTGTAAACTAGTGAAGTAAAAAAATTACTTAAAATGACTTCACTGTAAAAAAATTTACTTATAATATAAATATAGAGTTCGCTTTGGTTAAAACCATTTAAAGAGGTCTTTTGAGCGGCGAAACTCATCTAAGGAGTTGTGGGGAGGGGAAGGGGAGGTAGATGGGTAGTGGTGGAGGAACGGCTAGGGGGAAGGTGCACCCCCCTGAGAAAATTCCTGGATCTGCCACTGGATCCCAGTCCATAAACCTATTTGTTTCCTCTCATAGAACGGCTTCCTTTACAAAATACTTTATCATGCGTGCTACCTTTTTCTGGAATTCATTACCTGCCTCCATACGCAAATCCTTAACCACATTTAAACAACAATTATTCTTCCGCCTCCTAAGCAATCAATCGTCCGAATACATGTAAGAACAAAGGTTTGTATTTAAGAGCGGGCACCTTCATTTGACTATTATATTAGTGTTACTTATAATTAACAATATTGTTAATCAGAACAAATATTTGAACACACTCATATATATTTATACGAAAATTAATATGTTTACTTGTACTTAATCTATTTTAATTTTAAGGTTGGATTATTATGTTATGTTATATTTTTCATTTTCTTATAGTACAGAAAATTGTAATTTTTTTGTTCACTGTAGTTATTCCTAGGGTACTATAGGCTTGTACTATAGGCTATAGGGTACTATAGGGTACTATTTATTCCTCTTTTTTTTTCAACCACCACGTTAGACTAAAAGCTTGGTGATTCGGTAGCCCTAGTATGTTCTACAGATATGTCATGCCCAGATATCTTCATTTAATGATACCAGTAGAATAAATTCATAGTTTAATCACGAAAATTTATATTCAGAACAAAGTTCTCAATATGTTTATCCAATCATGGGATTAAGTTTAATTTTAAGTAAAAAATCATCATTAGAACTAATACCAACACGTCATTGCCTTGACAGTCAAGCCACACGGCATCACCACCTCCCAAGGAAACAGCGAGGTAACCAAAAGCTCCATTACCATTCGGTAATGCTTTAGCAGCAAAAAATGTTCGGCTCTCTTGGGAGTACTCTGCAAAATCTTCAGCTTCAAGATTTACGTCACGATAACAAATCTGAATCCAAAATGTAGTTTTTTAACATTTCATTGTAAACAAATTTAATTGATAAAATAAATTAATAGTATTTTTCAAACACCAGTGTTATTTCATATTATAAATTTAATACGTGACTACTCAGAATAAAATAAATAGAAGTAAGTATTTAATGGATTATAAAATTTACTTTGATAGTATGCCAAAGATTTTGAGATCATTATCAAAATTATACTAATCAATATTTTGGTAATCAATGAAGATATTACTGGTTAACAATTATTTTTGATGTTTACTTTTAATGGGATACATTAATTGAAAGCTATTTTTATTTCTTTAAAGTTCTAACACTATAATATTATATAGATATTTCATATTATATCTCATCAGTGAATGGGAAATATCAGGTGATTAATTTCTCAATGTTATTTACTTTTGAATGAATCCTCAGATAGATTATCTCTGATTTTTCAAAAATCTAAGCGTTCTGAATGATTCAATTTGAATAATTTAAAACCTCAGGGACCTAAAAACATAGTTTGACCGTTTGATATTTTTTTTTGCTAATATTAATGCTTATGCAGTTTTATTTTTCCCATGAAATTAATAGACATAGTAGATCTTCCGCCAACCTAATAAGGTTGTTCTAATTCTGTCTATCTTGAGTTATAATTTTCTTATTGGCTGTATATATTTCTGCTTACAAGTCTCAAAAGAAAATAATTGAAAAGTCAAATAATCAAGGGATAATTAATTTAAAATTATATATAATTTCATTCAACTACAGTTTGCTTTAGTTATTAACCAATACTTTCACCATTTCTTTATGCTTAATTATGAGAACTTGAATACTTACATCGGGTTCTAATCTTCCACCGAATACTTGTATTCCTGGTAAAAGTTTAATTGGAGGATCTTTATCAAAAGGATCTAATAATTCACCTTTACCAATATTTAATAACAGATTAGTTATATAAATATTTCTTTCTCTTTTCTCATATGTTTTGTGGGCTGGAAAACCAATCAATCGATCAAGCCAATGCTGAAATAATAAAAAAATAATATTAAGTTCACCACATTATTCTAAATTTATGTGTAATACTAATACTAATAATAATACTATAATCTAAAATATTATAACTTCACGTGGTTGGACTTGTCCCCCACCTTCAGCTTTAAATCCGCAAAGGCGAGAATGAAAAAGATACTAATGATGGTTTTGTAGTATTTTTTCTGTTTCTTTTTTAATGCTTAGCAAAGGTAGCACCCTTCAACAGGCTGTTCCAACTCAGTCTATCTCTGGCAATTGTTTTATGCATTAGCCATGTTGCTCACTTAAAAGGGGAGACCACAATCAGAGATTCTATATTGAAAAATATTAGATACAAGTCCCGGCATTCGTTTTAATGGGCTTCCGGAGCAGAGAAAAAAAAGTTAAATATTTAAAAACAAATATTGTTTTGACCAGATTTCAAACTTATTATATACCAATCAATTTTTTTTGTGAAGAATTCTAAAAAAATATTTGTCGATATTATTAAATATATTAAATGTATCATAATATAACCTCAATCAATGACCAACGGTCAGACTAGCGTATAACTAGCGCAAATAGAGCTTTCCTCTTCCTTTCAATGGTATTGAAAGACCAAAAAATCTTCAATTAAGGGTGTACAATACTATGATAAAACCAATTCTAATATATGGCTGTGAGACTTGGGCACTAACCAACACCCTAGAAAAAAGTACGAAAAGATTTGTGAGAAATATCCTCTATACGATAACCGGAGCAATCTGGGTTCAGAGTACTATTACACATAGAAAAGAAAGACTAATAAAGCTGCTTACAAAAATTGGTCAATCAATATCTCATCATATGAAGGCACGGAAGTTAAAATGGGTGGGACACGTAGCTCGGAGCAATCCATCTGGATGCCTCTACGGAACAATGAATACATCAATAGAAGGCAATTTGGTAGGCCAAAAAGCAGATGGATAGATAGATTCAACAAAGATGCAATAGAGCTGCATGCAGATATGTGGCAGGCTTTTTATGGAGGTAAAATATCTACATAGTCTGTAAGGCCAACAGAAAAAAAAAATCATATGAGAAAGAGCTTTTTTTTTTTTATTTTTATTTGAAAATTAATATATTCTGCCGTTTTGGAGAGAATTAATATTACGACTAAATTAAATATTCACTCATTATATACATACAAATGATAACTAAAATAGAGATAAAAGAAAAAGAGTTGTAGAAAGTAAGCTAAGAAAATTAACATACATAGGTAAAAAAAAAAATAGAGAGAAACTAAATGAAATTAAAATATAGAAATCACGTTCACACTTATATACAATATTTACATTCGCCTAGCTATTCTGAGTCATGTTTTGTCCCCAAATGTGGAAGCCAAGCCAGGACATCAGGAGATCCCAGTGCTTCTCTCCCAGCCTCGTCACTGGTATTGCAAGCCAGTGGAGACTGATGGAGGGCAGTAGAGCAATAGACGCCCAGGACTTGAGTGGAGAATCTGGCCATTGCCAGTACTTTAATATATACATATTTACAAAAGGTCGCGGGGTCACTGCCGTTTTAACCTTCGGGGAGGATTGTAGGGATGGCTGGAGCTAGATAGGGACTGTGCTACAGGATTTGGATGATGAGTGAGGTTCTCGTGAAATTTGGAAAATTCATCTGGGATTAGGTCAATAACAAATGGAATCTGAAGGTCATTATGGAGGGTTTTATTGGTTACATAGAAAAGAGCATCGACTATTGTTCGGAGGACTTTAGACTGAAAGGATTGAATGCGCTTAATGTTAGAATGTTTTGTTGTCCCCCACAGCTTTAGTCCGTAGGTCCAGATAGGATTCAGGATTGTGTTGTAGATTAGTAGTTTGTTGTCCACTGAAAGTTGAGATTTTCTATTCATTAGTCTACATAGCTGTCCGTATCGTCTGTTAAGTTGTGTATTTTAAGTCTGGTATGTGGGTTCCACGTTAGTCTTTTATCTAGAAGAAAGCCAAGATACCGGACTGTCAGAGAGGAAGTGCTATGGATTTGAAATAGACTGGTGGACTGTACTTACGCCGAAGGGTAAAAGTGATGTGTTTGGATTTGGATTCATTTACTTGGATGCGCCACTTATTACACCAATGTTCAATAACAGAAAGGAGACTTTGAAGATTTAAGGATGCTGTTTTAGGATCTGGATTGGGAGATAGGATGGCTGTGTCATCAGCGAATATTGACAGGAGGGTTTCGGGATGAGTAGGAATATCAGCGGTAAACAGAATGTATAGGACGGGACCCAAGACGCTGGCTTGAGGAACTCCCGCCTCAATTGAATGGCAGTTGGAGAATTCTGTGCCACACCGAACCGGAAAGGAGCGGTCAGAGAGGTAGGATCGGAGTATTAGAAATAAGGACTGGGGTAGGTGGGTTTTGAGCTTGAAGAGTAGTCCGGTGTGCCATACGCGGTCGAAAGCTTGCTCGATGTCCAGGAATGTTTCCGAGCAATACTCTTTGCTTTCTAAGGCTGGGGAAATGTGGTCAATAAATCGGAGTCCTTGTTGATCGGTGGAGTGCTGGAAACGAAATCCGAATTGATGGGTAGGAAGGTTTTGTGATTCTATTATGGGTATGATATTTTTGAATAGGATTTTTTCAAATATTTTTGAAAGGATTTGGAGTAGGCTGATTGGTCTATAGGGTGATGTGTTATTGGAAGGTTTGGCTGGTTTCAGGAAAAGGACGATGGTGGACTGTTTCCATAAGAGAGAAAAATGGGTAGTTCTTAGGATGCAGTTGTATATGTTGCATATGTGAGGAACATGATCGCTTTGGGTGGTAGTTGATGAAGGGTCTGCTAGGTTAGAAGGTCATATCCAGGAGATTTGCGGGAAGATAGTTTTTGTAAATGATATTTGACCTCAGAAGGATGAATTGCTTTTGGTGATAGGGAAAATGGAATTGGTGAGAAGAGGATTTTTTCTACTTTTGAAGTATGGATGCGATGGGATTTAGGATGAGGAGTAAATGTACAGGAGAGGTGTTTGGCAAATTCCTCAGCTTTGTCTTTATCAGACGCCGCCTAGGAGCCATCGCCTCGACGGAGGGCATGAGAAATATTTTGGGATTTTAGAGATATTCCAGAGGGAATTTTAGTGAGCAGAGAGGGAGTTAAGCAAGGTAAGAGTTAAAGGATTGGGATTTGAAGTTGGATAAATCTTGCTTTACTTTTTTAGAGTAATAATTATAGGAATGTGTGGGATGTCTGGTGTGTTGCCATAACAATCTGGTACGGCGGTTGGTTTGGATTAACTCGAGGATGTGTTGAGGTAACTTATTTTTTATATATAACAGGGTCGAATCTGGCCTGACATTTAATTCGTGACGAATCCATGAAATGAATCTCAATGTCTAATAAGATATAGGAATAATAACGTAGTAAAAATCGTAATGGTACTGGTCTGCTAGATCTGTTATGGCAGACACTGAAGAGAGGTATAGTTAAAAAAGTAAATAAAAACGTAAATTGTCTGTTCTCTTACGTATAACAAAAAGATAATGTGAACATTCAATGATAATAATGTTAATTAAATCTTAATAATGTTTTAATTAAGATATGTAATAATGTGATCATTTTAAATGTACTTATGTGTGTTATCATTTACCAAAGTTTTACCAACTTGATTTGGTAAGTTGTAGTGCATTCCTGAATATGATGCATTAACCCTGAAACTTGAAAACTGAAGAAATGTGAATGAGTATTGTTAAATCAACAAACAACCAAAATAACATTCTTGTTCATTGTGTGAATGGCTGCAAATGTTAGAATTGAGACTTATGGCGTATTACTCTCCTAGTGAGTATTCCATCTATACTCATTAAATGCTCAAATTTCTTATATCTATAAGTTGAGGATCAATCTATAAGTAATATAATATTGTTATTAGAGCTTTGAGAAATGGGGGTGGGGCATCTATAGAACATAACCTCTTTGCTAGAAATATAATAAGATACTTAATCACGATAAATAAAAATTACGTTGCTATGTACAACAAGTATTGATTTTTTTTTCATGCTTGTTTATTAAACTCCGTAAATTCTTGCCACCTCTATAATTACTCATTATCTGTTCCTACCTTACTGACAGATACTTCAAAATAAATCATAATAATGCTTGTTCATCTCTTTTTTCTCAGTTTGCTGGTGTTCATCAAGGTAGTATCTTAGAACTATCCTTTACACATCTTATACAGTTAATATCTCAACCCATTCCAACACTTATCACCACCTATGCCGATGTCACGTGTATCCTATCAGTTAATAACGATCCATCTATAGCATCCCAAGCGTTTCAATCACACACCACAAGCCTTGAAAAATGGTGTCAAAATAGGAGGATTAAAATAAATTCCAATAAATCTCATCAAATTACCTTTACTCTTAGTCGTAAACCTATGACTTCTTATCCTATAGTATCCTTCAGCAATACCCCACTTATCCCTGTTGAACAAATTCGATACCTAGGACTCCACTTCGACAAACGACTCACTTGTAACCCCCATACCAGACTGAAACGACCAGAACCGCCCGACGTTTTCGACTATTGCAGCACTTACTAGAAAGACGCTCTGATCTTCCAACTATTTACAAAAGACTCATATATATTACTATAATAAGGCCTATTTGGACTAACGGGATTGAGCTTTGGGGCTCTACTAAACCATCAAATTCCTCGCGTATCCAATCCTTACAATCCATAATCCTTCGTAAAATCCTTAATGCTCCCTACTTTGTCACAAACAAAATCATCAATAACGACCTTTATGTACCACATGTTTCCGATTTAGTTCAATCCAGATACCTATCCTTTCGTAATAAACTTCTGAACCATCCGAATCCTCTTGTTTCCAACCTTGCTTCCTCTTCTATTCCTGATAACCCTCCGAGGCGTCTGAAAAAAAGATGGCCTCGGTACCTTCTAATATAGAATAATTGGAGTGCTACCAATGGGTAGTTTCTCTTCATGTTGTACATGTCATGTTACTTGTTTCATATTTAATTGTTGTATTTATCATTTAATACAGTTGTAAATTTCAATAATAAAAAAAGTTTGTTAATTTCAATTCAAATTTTAAAATGGTACACATTTTATAAATGCATAGGATCTCAAAACGTCTAATCCAATTCTCTTTAAGAATAATGAGAAAAATCTTTAAGCATTTAAAATCCAGTTATTAGTACGCAGTCAGTTCCACCAATGTTCAAGAGGAATCGTTTTAGGGTGATTAAAAAGTACATCAACTTATTTATATTAAAATATTAGATAAGTAAAAAGATATTTCAATGAAAGACTGACCTCACACAGAAGCATTTCACTTTCATCTTTTATGGTCTTGAACAATGCAGGAACGAATGCAAGGAGAAAATTGAAATCTTCGTCCAACTTGTTGTCTCGAGAGTACAATGTGCCGTCCCTTATGAATTCATCTAAAACAAATGGGTTTGGTTGTACCTCAATTTCATCGTCTTCATCCGAGTCCTCGTCCATGTTGACAATTCTAAAATTTTGAAATTTGAAAAAAAAAGTAGTTAATTTATCTCATCACATCAACAACAGCTGTTAAATTTTAAAGAGAATTGCTGACTACTTCTCAAAAATGTAAAATTACGCTCAAAAGGTTGTGAATTTATATCACTTATCAGATTAATAGAATAACTTTGTACATTTATCCATCCTAATGCAATATTTAAATAAAAAACTACAAAAACAAAGCATGGTATACATAGATTGGTTTTTAACACCAGTACTGGGGCAGGACCTCAGAGTTGCAAATTGCTTATTTTAGCAGGGAATTATTAAAAAATTATTGAGATTTAGACGGATTTATTTTTGGGCCCTCTAAAAAAAAAATTATTTAATAAAAAAAATAATATAACTATTTTATCTGAATAATCGTCTTCTTAAACAAAATGTATGCAATTTCTGGCTATTATAAACTGTTAATATGTTAATAGGGAAACATATTGTTATTTTGCTTCCTCACTACCGAAGGTAGGGAAGCATTGTATTCATGCGAGAGGTTAAAAAAAAAATTGTGCTCAGAATCGAAAATTTCCACACGCCTATTATGTTTCATACATAAAGGATCAAAGTTGGTTCGGTGTCTGTCTTTGGTCAAATCGATGTAACGGACATATCACCTGCTACCCTTCATCCAACTTTCATGAAATTTTCAGGAATTGTGCGGGTTGGTCATAGATGGTCCAATATCAATTGTATTAAATTCTAACCAGCACTTCCGCTTTCGCACGCGCAAACGCATTTTTGTAGATATGCCAATATTTCAGAAATGACTCGTTCAATTTGGCTCAAAATTGGATAAAAGGTAGGTATTTGTGAAAAAATAATGCAGGGTCAATTTTATTGAATCTGTCGGTTGCTTTCTCTACATATACGCGCAAACGTTTTCCTTGATACGTCTATATCTCTAAAACGGCAAGTTCGATTTGGTTTAAATTTTCAAGAAAGTTAGGGACTGGTAAACGTAAAGTGAAATAGCCATCAATTTTATCAAACTCTATCTACTACTCCAAAAAAAAAATAATTCCGCTATCAGCTCGGGAAATTTGTTATTTGATATGGCTACAGTTTGAAAATGACGCATTCGATTTCACCCAATCTTGGAGGAAATTTGGAGAACAATATAGAAATAAGTTAGTACCATTTTCATTGAATTCCATTTAATAATTAAAATTAATATAAATGATTGTTAACAATAAAATGGCAGTGAAATGTTGAAGGCATAGACGAGCATATCACCTACTACCTTTCATTCGATTTTCATGAAATTTTCAGGAATTGTACGGGTTGGTGTCTAGATGGCTCCATATTAATTTTATCAAATTCCATCCACTAATTCTGTTTCCGCACGCGTAAATGTATTTTCAAAGATAGGCAATATTTCAGAAGCGGATTTGATTCAAAGTTAAAAGAAAGGTGGGTTTTGGTAAAATTGTAGAAATTGTCATCTACTTCATCTTATGTATGCTCAAACGCGTTTTCCTTGATACTTCTATATCTCGAAAACCGTTGGTTATATTTAACCAAAATCTGGAGGGAAGTTAGGTATTAATTAACAGGTAATCAAGTAAATATAAATTTTATCAAATTCTATTCACAATTCTAAAAAAAAAAAAACTTCCGCTTTATTATTTGACACCCCTATGGCTTGAATAAGGCTTGTTCAATTTGACCCAAACTTGGAGGAAATGAGGAGAAGAGTTCAGAAATTGTCTAATATCAATTTCATTTAATTTCATTCAATAATTAAAATTAATATAAATAACAATATAATGGCTGTGAAATGTGGAAGGCACTGATCATATGGAATGAGAGTTAGGTTAAGGCAATATTTTTATGGGGTTATAAAATTTTAGGTTTTATTTAAAAAGTTAATTTATACTATTTTGTTTAGTCGATTCCAAACGTTACTGGCATGACACTTACTGCTCTTACTTAGCTTTCGTGTAATTTTCAGTAAATTTAAATTAATTTTTACTCTGGAGTTTGATCACGATTTTCCGCTTAAATGTCAAAGTTGTGTGAACTTCAAGCATATTTTTATGTTCTAGCTTAATTAGTTTTGTTCTGACCACTAGGATTTAATTGTGGGGGCTTCAGTCCGAAAGCTTTTTTTTCATATATATATATAAAACAATAATTACTTTGAAAAAAAAAAGAAACATACTAACTATATGAAATGAAGTTTAAGTGATTCTTGAAGTACTATTAAATGTTATTACTCGAACAATAATAATTTAAGAGATAATTTTGAAATATTTTTTTCCATAAAACATGGTTATATTTTACCATTTTTGGGGGAGGAGGGAGGGAGGGTTGACTTCAGCCCGAAACCTCCTTCACCACACCCGTAGATCCACCTGTGGTTCTGAATAAAAGTGTTGGTATCGTTAACTCCGAACAAACAAGGAGTGATATTTTTCCTATGGATGTTTTGTTCAATCCATTTTACGAATGAAAACATACCTATTAAGTATGTATTACTATTGTTAGTGTAACAGGTAGTATGTAAACATTATCAAATTTTATTCTATTTGTGTTAAAGATGACATTTTGCAGCTAGCAACCAATAGAATGCAGTGCAATGGAATGAAAAATGCAACGATGGAAAATAGCAGAGGGCAATAAAATAGAAAATTATACTAATAAACCATAAAGAAACAATTAGTTTTTATATGCTCTTTTTTAAAACATTCAATTTTTACAAATAAACTTTTGTACTAACATTAGTGAGTGATATTCATGTTCAGTATGCAATGGAATTTTTATTTTTTATCACAAATCATCAAGTTAACAATCTTCAAATACGGAACTCTTCCGCATTTTAGTATTCGCTGATGAATGAAACTCGTGAATATCAGACCGGTAGGTGTTGATGGATTGCTGAATTTCCGAAAATGGCTGCTTCCAGAGATTTTATTCTCATACGAAAAATTTTAGACCTTGTATTATAGATATTTTTTAGACAATGAAAACAGTGAGGAAGCTAAACTGACTTTACTTGGCAGACGTTTTTTTATTTAGAATAAAATTATAGTTAAATAAAAAAAAATAAAATAAATAAAACAACCGTAATTTAATAAAAAAAAAGTTTTCGTTGGATTAAAAAATATCTATCTTTTTGCAGTAAAAAAATCTCTATTTTGGGGCCCCCTTACTTAGTAATTCGAGAAACATAATAATTCGGACTCAGATCATAACATATCGCAGCGATTAAAAACCAACTTGGGTTCAGTATGGTTTAGTATGGTCGTTTTAATGGAGACAAATCAACGAAAACACGTCACTAACTAGTCGTGGGGAGAGATTGGAAAAATAAATGTTATTCTGGGACACTTAGTCTCCTAAGAATAATGGAACAGTACAATTACAATTACATTTATCTGGCATAAAATCAGTTCAAAACAAAATAATGAAATAAAACAAAAACACATAGTAAGTAAATATACGGAAATAATGGGATTATAGATACATAAACGTCGATGTGTTTACATATTTGTGCTTGTAAGAAATATAGCTATAAGGAAATAAATTATATTAGTGGAATATCGGTAAAGTAATATATGAGTAGCGATAGTAATGCAGTAAATAAGTATTTTTACACATCGTCAGTTTATTGCAAGAAGTCACTAACATTTTTTAATGGAGGTAAACTTCTAGGCATGTATTAGTGAATTTCAACCTTATTTATTGGTGTGAATGAGACAACTATTCTTTTATTATATATATATATATATATATATATATATATATATATATATATATATATATATATATATATATATATATAATATGGTAAATACAAAATATAGTTAAACTAAATACACAATGTTTTGATTTCACTGATAGAAAATTTAACAAAATAATACGTGATTTAATTTTATGAAATGTCACCTAATGCCTTTTGCAAGAAACCGACGTTAGATTCGGAAAATTTATTGTTGAAGAAAGATCAAATAATTTGTATTTAAATATAATTAAAGATGAGGTTTTACGTTTGGATATGAATAAATAATTTCTGAACGAAATTGCATGTAGGATTCTTTTGAAGAAAAAAGTTTTTCGTGAATGATTATTCAGGTTCGTGGTGTGGGATATCGTGTTTAAAGGATATACAAATTAAGAATATAAGGAGGCATTTTTGCTATAAAGGATCGGTTAAGGTATACATCAGGAAATATTACGAGCTCCTGAGGATTCTGAAGATGATTAATGAAACCATTCTCTTTAATCTCATCTCCTGCCACTCAGACAATCCAGCGTATCCATGGCAGCGAAAAATAGGAGAGAAAACTATTCGAGTTTTAAGGGGTATATGTTATAATTACGGAATCTCAGTAATTGGTTAAAAGTAGGTATTGATTACCTCAACGTTTCTCGTGGACGATGGAAGCGAATTAGTATGCCTTTGAAGAGCCTATTATCCTAAGGAGACTTCCTATTTTTATTTCATTTGAGGATCGGTACAGTGGTGGCGAAAGGCATAAAAACGACATTAACTCAGAAAAACGTTTAAATTGAGCAAATTATCTAAAAAACTAAATTTTGTTAGAATCTTGGCCCATATGAGTCGACTTTGCCCGAAGTTCCATTAACTTTATATTTAGCATTATAATATTCATTTTAAAATTTATGAAAATATGAAGGTATTTAGTAGACAGAGAAGTATTATTTTGCAGATGATGATTAATCTGGTGGGCGCAACCCACAACTTTCACTTACCGCTCTACTTTGAATAGAAATTATTTTCTGGCAATGTTGAAGTATGATAAAATTTTTGAAGTGCATTTTAAACGGAGCTAAAGCTTGCAGATAGCAAATCATTAAGACCATTAAAATTACAAAAACTCTATTTATTATCTCGACGATAGACAATAAAAATCTAGTTACTCCATCTGCTTTTATAAACCACATAACTTCAGTCTGTGATCTATGTGTGCCTTTCAGTTGACAGAATCACAAACTCCAATTTCAACATTTTTGAGTGATCTTTCTAGTTGAAAAATTTATATCTATACAGACAGTGAGTAAGTAGATTCCAGAGTTGATGATTGCAGTGTTCAAATATAGAACTGTGAAGAATGGTATAATTTTTCGCACTAGAAATATCACTACAATTAATAATGAAGAATATTGAAATTGAGGTCAATCATTCTGTCAACTGAAAGGCTTATATGGGAGAGATTTGAAAGTACATGTGAGTATTTAACCTATAAATGATTATGAATTATAATTATTATGATAGTTATTAAACTGTTATTTTCCATTGTAATGTTTACTAAAATAAAATTACGCGATTTCCATTGCCTGTCAAGGATAGGTCAAAACTTGTCACACTAATTTTAAGTCGATAATGTCTAATTAAATTTTTTAAAAGGTGCACTTGATAATTTTCCGGAATAAACGGCCGATAGATACCTCATTATTTGTTACTATTAGGCCCGTGCGCAAAAATTCGCACAGCATATTGTTATAAAATGCCAAATTAATAAGAAAATAAAACAATGCAATATATCAAAAGATAAAGAAATACAATGTTACTTTATCGATAAATATAATCGGCATAGAAAACAAAAATTAATTTAAATCTACATTTTTGTTTGTAACCAACATGTTTACAAATTTCAGTAAGCTGTATCTTTTCTAAAAATTGTCCGATTTCGATGATTTTTTTTTTCTTTTTGTAGGAAATTTAGTAATCTTATATAAAATCATAGGCAGAATCAAGGGAAAAGTGTGTAATTTTTTAGTTATTCGCAAATAAAGTTTTCTTTCATAACTTGTTTGCCTGAATTTTCGGGGTGATTGGACCGCCTGCAAGAAGAAGGAAGCCTTCGAAATCGGTGGTTCAATCTTGAGATTTGGTGAAAAATTAATGATGATATGGCTTGCCGATCAAAAGCACCATCGATAAATAATATAAACTCCTCCTCTCTCGTTCATAGAGACCTCAAGTCGACCAAATGAGACATGTATTCAATGACATTTACTACAATTAATGTATGGTTTGTGGATGCGAACGCTATGCCTTGCGTTATCTCGAAAATAGTACGTTTTTGGGCTTAAAAACGCAGGATCCGCTAGTTCGGGAGGAACTATTCGGGTCTTGCTGTACGCATCAAAATCTTCAAGATCCAATTTGTCCCATATCGATCTACAGACCTACCACCATTCCAGTATTGAAGCCTAGCAAAATGTTTGTATGGACTTTATTTACTTTAGAAAGAAAAACAAAAGTGGAGAATACGATTCGCTAACCCCCGTGAAATTCTGAATCCAACGATACCCCATTCAGGGTATTTGAGCATGGCAGGAGCTTATATTTAGTACAAAACCGATTTCGAGCCTTACTGTAATAATGTATGTACGGATGTACGAATAGGGTTAGGGATAGCATTGTTCTGTTGACTGCGTTGCCATAGGAACGCGGTTTGTCTTTCTATTTCATTTTCCCTTTGCTTTTCAGTATATGTTTCATAACTCCTCAGGATTTGCTCCTAATTCAAGGTATCTATAATCGTTGGACAGCTGAATTATTACTCTTCAACACCATATCAATAACTTTTAGAATTGACGTGTTTAAAAACAATAAATAAAGAAAAACTCCTCAGAGGTTTTAGTTTTATATCTCCAGTTCTATTATATTTACAGGAGATAACAATATTGTAATAACCTAACTACCACTCCATTTGATCAGTGCCTTCAACATTTCACTGCCATTTTATTGTTAACAATTATTTATATTCATTTTAATTATTAAATGAAATTCAATGAAAATGATACTAAGTTATTTCTATACTCCAAATTTCCTCCAAGATTGGGTCAAATCGAATGCTTCGTTTTCAAACTGTAGCCATATCAAATAACAAATTTCCCGAGCTGAAAGCGGAAGTATTTTTTTTTTGGAGTAGTAGATAGAGTTTGATAAAATTGATGCCAATTTCATTTTACGTTTACCAATCCTAAATTCCCTTCAAATTTGAACCAAATCGAACTTAATAGACGTATAGAAGAAGAAATAGACGTATCAAGGAAAACACGTTTGCGCGTATATAAGAGAAAACAACTGACAGAATTCAATAAAATTGACCCTGCATTATTTTTTCACAAATACCTACCTTTTATCCAATTTTGAGCCAAATTGAACGAGTCTTTTCCGAAATATTGGCATATTTACAAAAACGCATTTGCGCGTGCGAAAGCAGAAGTGCTGGTTAGAATTTAATAAAATTGATATGGGACCATCTATGACCAACCCGCACAATTCCTGAAAATTTCATGAAAGTTGGATGAAGGATAGCAGGTGATATTCCCGTTACATCGATTTGACCACAGACAGACAGACACCGAACCAAAATTGATCCTTGATGTCTGAAACATAAAACGCGGGTGGAAATTTTCGATTCTGAGCACAAAATATTTTCTAACCTCTCGCACGAAAAATTTAATTTTTAGTAAACAAATTTAATTTAATTTCCTTGGAAAAATGTGATTTACGTTAAATAATGTTAGTTTTCAGTAATTATTATTTATGTTTTTTTTCTTCACTCTCCGTTACCTTCTACAACTTTTATTTATTTGATAATTTTTTCTAAAATTCTCCGCTTTCCAACGATATATTATACGTATACCTTCTGACAGTTATTTCCGGAGATTCTATTTCAACCTGGATAAATATTTTTTTTTCCCTCCGGTTTCCAGATATCATATTCTTTCAAACTTCATATTTAGTCATTTTTTATAATCACTGTCAATAAAAAAGAGTTCTTTTTTTTAAGTAAACCATATTAAAGGTACTTTGGAGAAAGATACATAATAACAGTTTCGTAGAACTTTTCGTTTTTGAGCTAGACTGTTAACACACACAGGAACACACACACACAGAAAATTTTCAGGATCACAAGACATTCCCTTACTATACATTACATATATAGGTAAGTGAAAGTAAAAAAGAAAAATTAGTATAGACACAACTGATACAGAAATAAAAACAAATAATTCATCCATAATTTACAAAGAAAAACGTTTGAATTAAATTGATATAAACTTTTGTTTTATAAAATAAAATGTTCACTCAAAAACCTAACTGATAAAAAAATTAAAACAAAGTAACTAAAATAGATTCACTGGTTGCAATCCTTGATTTGAGTCAATCTGAATTTCCAACTTAATATTTTCAAATTTTAAACCTGCTGTGCATAAAAACCCATACTATCACTAAATTTTCATATAGCATCTTATAATATTGAGTGGTAAGAAAAAACAGTTTTTGTCACAGATTTCATTTCTATGATTATGGTAAATTAATTAATAAATTAATAAAACATGCCTTGTTAAATTTTAGTAATCAAAATGAAAATTGAAACACTATATCTGAAATCAGAAAATAACTTTTTTGTGATTATATGGTTTTAATTAATTAAATTTTTAATTATCAATAAAAATTAATGTCCCTAACATGGTTGTATATATTTAGTTGTTCAACACTAAATATAAAATAAAATAATGGTAAATAGTTTTACATTTATTCCTTGGAATTTATATAAAACCAACAAACAACCTATTAATGGCATTACTTGATATTTCTTAGAGCTCATATTTCAGTCAAATGATAATTTTAATTTAATACTAACAGGTATAAGTTGGGTATAAAATTACAAAATTATTTGGAACAAGCAAATATTATTTTTATATGAGGGATAAATCAAATGTTAATTTTGTTATGAAACATCCTTTATCTGCTTGTTAGAATCTCCATTCTATGATTAGTTTGATAGAGAACATTCAATTAGGAACTGGTCCAAATGATCTTCAGAAGGATATCTTACTTGTTTGGTAAATATAATGCTTTTGTTATAATTTTTTACATTTTTATTCATTAAACAAGATAAATATAGTGAACAAAGTTTCAAAAGTTCGGTAAAAATAATTCTGTTTTTTTTTTAGTATACAACTTGATAACTTCTAATGATAGACAAACATTTATAAATGATCTGAAGAGCTTATTTAACTATAAACATATAATGGTTGAAGGATAAACAATAAATTTACTAAGTTATATATGACTTTCCTAATCAGTAAAGAGATAACAATCAGCATATTACCACACAATTAGGGCTGTTCATGTTTCAGAACTGTGACAGTAAACAACTACTGAGATTTACATAATAGTCATTACATTGTACCTTTTTAAAAGAATTTTAAACATTATAATAGTGAAATTATACCTAATCATTATGACAAATAAATTTAAACAGAATGATTCAGTTAAGCATAAACAACTTTATTCCATCTATAATATTATAAAATTAAATTTTACAGATGTTGGAATGTTTGCAAGTGTCGTGTTTTTACCTGCTTCAACCCACATGTATAATTCCCTATGCTACATAAAGTGAAATCATTATGATTAATATTATGTGATTAATATTGATAACATTTCTTGATCGTATGGAAATCTCTTGACAAAATACTGATTTCAATCAAAAACTCATTAAATTTTTCATGTTTTCACATTCTTTCAGATTTCCAATAATTTATTATAGTTTTATTATTTTGATAATATGATGATGTTCAGTGTGTCCTGTTTCAAGGGAAAAGATGGTACTCCAAAGAATCAGCTTCAAGAACAGCTTTGTACGATTTTCATGTTTCCCATGGAGGTAAAATGGTGGATTTCGCAGGATATCTCCTACCCATCCAGTATAATATGGTATCATAATCAAATTTAATAACATTTTTAATTTGTCAACTTATTCTATACAAATGTAAAAATATATTTAAAATGTGTAACATGAAAGCTTAAGTAGTTAGTTTGAATAGTTGGTTAATAACTGTTTAAAGTTTATATAAAATTACAAATAAAAGGAAATATGTTTATGCTTAAATAATTATTAATTTTTTTAGGGAATCCCAGAATCACATAAACACACCCGCTCCAAAGCATCACTTTTTGATGTATCTCATATGTTACAAACTACAATCAGAGGGAAAGACAGAGTACGCTTTATTGAAAGCATTGCCACCGCTGATGTTGAAGGTATGTGGATGGTTTTATGTGTTTACATGCATACACACCAAATTTAAACCAAGATATGAGGTTATATTCATTTATGACTGAAATTCAATCAGCAAATACAATATTTAATCAATTATGGGAATTTCAAGTTCAGTCATAGTTTTGAGTATCAAAAACACTCAATAGTAAGATTTATTTTTGCAGTAATATTGCAAAAAACTAATTTTTTATTTTCGATGTTTGTGTTTTATATTGAAATTCATTTAAGTTTACAAGAAAAATAGGAGAATAATCTACAGGTTTTCTGGTTTATAAGCACAATCCTTTCAACATATAAACACATCACAATGGTTTCTACAATATTTAGATGTTCAATCTAAAACATAGTTTTATCATGATTGAAATGAATAAAGAAATAAACCACTGTAAATATTCTAAAACTTTCCTTTTGAAAAAAAAAAAAAACAACAAACAAACAGGAATGTAAAAGAACTTTTTTTGTAATTTTGATCATTACTCAACTTTGCTTTCAGGTCTTAAGATTGGAAGTGGTTGTTTAAGTCTTTTTACAGATAATGAAACAGGAGGTATCTTGGATGATCTTATAATAACTAAATATTCAGATCATCTTAGCATTGTCACAAATGCTTCTCAAAGGGATTCAGATATGAAGCTCATGCTAAAAGCTTTGGTAAATTTTTAATTAACATTTAACAATATTGAGTTATAAAATTAATGAAGCACCTACTAATATACGGTTGCAAAATTATTCTTTCCTGTAATTAATTCTTTATATTAGAAAGCTAATCAAATCTAAATTGTTTTTAAAAATAATCTTGATTAGATTATTTTGGGCATATATCATTAAATACTGAATATTAACTGGAATAAGTATAATAAATAATTTCAATTTAATTATAAGTAAAACATTTTTTCTTTGTTAAAACAATCAAATATATTTGGAACTATTTTTTATGAATTCTATCCCTTTTAAAACCTTTACACTTTTGTCCTCCAGAGCATATGCAATTTCCTTTGCTTTCATGAGCTATAACAATTTCATAGACCACTTAATGTAAAAAAAAAACTGTTGAAATAAAATTTCTATAATGCTTTTTATGTAATAAAGTTCCGGGATTGGTGTAAAAGCATAATTTTTATTCGTTTAAGAACATGAATAAATAAAAATAACAAAAGTTACTTTAAATGAGAAATAAACAGTAGTTTAGTACTTTGATGGAAATTAAAAATTACAAATTTGAGCTTTAATAGAATTTAAATGATAAAGACTATATATAAGATTGAATCTTTAAAATAATTACAAAATATTGATATTTAGCTAAAAACTTGAAATAATAGCGCGTTTCGGAATGATGGTGGGAACTGAGGGTGTAGGTGTACGTCCACTGCGTTATGACGCATACACTGACACTATAACGCAGCCTAACTGTACTCTATAACACTTTCCTTTCAAAGTGTATCTCAGCTCTAATTTATTAATGTGCATTTATAAATGCTAAAATGATAAAGTGAGGACAGCATGAGAAAAAAGTAGAAAGATATTTCTGCACATTAACAAACAGTAGTATTAGTTTTTATTATTACTATTTATTATTCCTTCTATTAGTTAAAGAATATAAGATATCCAATGATTCTGAACTAGGCACTGGGATTTCATCACGTAATGGTGACATCATGGTGTCATCCGCTGCCAATAACGCTAATTATCTTTGTAGATATGCTTCAGAAAATTCGTGACATATTGTGCTCTTATTGTTACAACATAATCTTTAACAAAGAATAAAATTTAAAAATTCATGACAGTGCCAATCAGGATTAGATTACCTATGTAATTGCCTGTGAAAATGAATAACCAGGTTTTCATATTAAGAATCTACTACACAACCGCAATTTTTTAAATTTATATTTTGGTAAAATGAATTGTTTTAACTCAATTTTTAAATAAAAGTTTTTAAAAATAAAAGCTTAAACGTTAATTTCCATGAGAAAAGCTGGAGTTTCAAAATAACAATTAAAAAATTAAAATTCTAATCATATCAAAACCGTTTAAAAACAAAAGTCAGCTATTCATTTTGAGCCCTGGTTAGAGAAAACAAATGTGTCAGAATGAGCTCTATTGGTAAGCACTTTAGAAAAACATAATAAATATTGTTAAAAAAGAAAATTTGAGATTTTAGTGTTGTTTTTAATTTTAAATTAACATTACTACTTTAAACTTACTTGATATTCAACTTCCATCTTTCCTTTAGTATATTACCAAATTGATTAAAATAAAATACTTGCAGTTCGGCAAAATAAAATTAAACCTGATACTGAAAAGTTTGGAATTTAATCAATGAGAACTATTTGTTGATCAATGAGATCAATGAGAAATATATTTTATGATTTTGATTACGATTTCACAATTTTTGGTAATTATTTTTCAGGAATCAATTTCTTCTTCTGGTGGGGATGTAAGCTTACAGTTTGAAAAGAATCTATCTCTCATCGCTTTGCAAGGCCCAAGAGCGGCAGCAGTTTTATCTAGTGTAACTGAGATACCTATCAATCATTTTTATTTCATGCAGTCAATGGAAATGGATGTTTGCGGTAAAAACTGCCGTGTTTCCAGAGCAGGTTATACTGGAGAAGATGGATTTGAAATTTCTATTCATTCATCAGATGTAGAGACTGTTGCTGAAAAACTTGTATCAATTCCTGATGTAGAGTTAGCTGGGTTAGGAGTTCGAGATTCTTTGAGGTGACTAAACTTGTATTGGAATAAACATAACTTATTTTATCGTATCTGTTAAGGAACTCATCTAAATCTAAATAGTTGACATTCCTATAATTTTTAATATAGAATAAAAATTACTTATTATAATAATCTCCTTTGGTGTAGTAGTTTTCAAAGTGAACCATAACCTTTTTTAAGGGGATGAACTGTGAGGCCATAAAGCCAGTTTCACATTCATGATAATTTATTTATTTATGACAATTTATTAACTTGTGCCATAGGCTTGAAGCTGGACTCTGCTTGTATGGAAGTGACATAGATATTAAAACAACACCAGCTGCAGCAGGGTTGATGTGGACAATAGGTGAGGAATTGATCTAAATAAAATTCAATAGATTTTTGTGATTACAAATACATCATGCTGAACTGTCAGATTTTTCCTGTTATTAAGTGGCCAATTCATAGAGGCTGGGTGTTCCCTAGGAAAATGCTTGGCCTTAAGATTGACCCTTGACTGATGTAGCAGAATAAATAATTATGTTCTATAGCCAAGCTTGAAACGAGATCTTAGTGGTCAGAACCTGTACCTTATCCACTAAGCAACCATACTCCCTATATATCAAAAGAAACACCTAAAATATGATACATGCAAAGATAATCTCTAGATAAAAACATACCATGGTAGTTAAGTGCGTTGAGGCAATACCTCAGCTTTCTCAAATCGGAATTGGCATTAGTTTGAATTTAGCCTTTGAGAGTAAACAACCTATAAAGCTCTAATGATAACGATGATGTAGAGGTTGTGATGGCCGAGAATGTTAGAGCATTGCCCATAGCATTCTCATGCCTAGCGATGCTGGTTCAAATCCGGTCTGGAAAGAGTTTAATTTTAATTTTGTGGTGGACCCACAGAATGAATCTCGACCTTTCCATTCTGGTAGAATAGGTTTGGTTGTACCTCTAGAACAATCCCCCTGTATGCCAGAAGTGGTGGGTAGGAGGTAATCCAATAAAAAAACAAACAATGTATTCAATTTATAAACATTCTGCATTTGTCTTTATATACCTTGGAGATATTTGGCTATTTATGTTAATTGATTTTAAATTGAGTAATTGCCAATTGATTTGATTACTTTTCACTTTGTTTTAACCTAATCTCACTCTATCTCTAATATCATAACGAATAAGCATCTCATAAACTATTAAAATTTTTTTTTAACTTTTAAAATTTTATAAAATTCTGTCGAGGAATTATATTCTATTTTTTAAATTACTTTTTGATCTCATCAGGTAAAAGGAGAAAAGTCAAGAAAGACTTTCCTGGAGCAGAAATCATCCTAAGCCAGAAACCAAAAGAGAAACGAGTTGGCCTTATTAGTAGAAGATCAGGTCCTCCAGTTAGAGGAGGAGCATCTGTGATGGACAAATATGGTGAATTCATTGGACACGTTACTTCTGGCTGTCCTTCACCAAGTTTAGGAACAAATATTGCCATGGCATATGTTCCTATGGAACTATCTATAGGAGACTACGTATATGCCATGGTCAGAGGAAAAAAGGTAGAAATGCAAGTCACCAGAATGCCTTTTGTCAAAACAAACTACTATACTGAAAATAAAGGAAAATAATTTATCTTTTAAAAGTCTGTTAATAATTTAAGTTACTTAAATAACTAATGACTGAAACGTTTATTAAGTATATTTATGTTTTTCATTTTTAATTAGAATTAATAAAGTTGTGAATTTATTCATATTTTTAAAGATAATTATGCATTTTTAGCTTACAGAAAGTGTTGTGAGTTCTAAGACAATATATCTCGATACTTAAGTAAATTAACAAGAAACATTTTATTAAAGAAAATATATTGTATTGATAGGATAAATTTTGCTAGTACTAATTACAAATAGAGTTAGAAGTCTGTATCATAATTACAGGCCAAAGAGATAATCATGAATGCATAAAAAAATTCAAATTTGAAGTTTATAATTATTTTTGTGTGAAGGTTTAAATGGCAAAACCATCGATGAGAAAAATGAATTATCATTCATCTACCTAAAATATTATGAATGCTGCTTTCTTTAATTTTTGAACGCCAGGGTAAATATCAAACTTATTTTTCTCTAAATCAAGAATTTACTCATTCTTGGTTTCACCTTTGGAACAAACATATGTTACTTAATATCATTAAAATAAATAATCTAAATAAAATTTAAAAAGTGTTGGATGTAGAAGCATAGATCAAAATCTATACTTAAAAATATTTTATGAAATGTTTATTTTTGGAATACATTATATAAGATGTTGCAGAAGAAATATCTGCCATCACTTTTTGATTAGATAAACAGTAAATAGTCTTGAATCTGAGTTATTCTAATAATAACCTTTTGACTTTTTCTTTAAAGGTCAAAGGAACCAATTTTATATAAATTTAGATTAAAAAAATTGAAATAGTTGAAACTAATTATCTTGTAACTAAATAATTAATAGTTTTAAATGTGAATGTGTAATCATGTCTTAGATACATATTTCATTAATGTTTTCTATATATTAATGTATATTCAGCTATTTCAATTAAAAAATATTTTTAAATTTATGAATGTCTTTTTTATTCTTTGGATTTTAAAATGTTGTTGCAATTGATACTTAATACCTACAATAGATTTTTATAAGTTTAATGTAAAATAATTTAAAAAGAAAATATATAACATACAGAATTGGTTGTTGATTTCAATGCCTTTATAATTCATTGGGGATATTTAATATGGTGCCAATACTGTAATATATAAACTAAAAAAATACTTCAAAATGGTACACAAGAACCACTAAAACGATATAAAGAAATTTTCCTTCCAATAGTATATTATTAAGTAAATATTCCAAAGTAGCTTTTTCAATTCATTTCAAGTTTATTTGAAAATACTAAATATTTTTAATATTATAAATGAAAGCTAAGAAAATAGTAAGCTATACTCAGTGGTATATTGGTGGTATAATTGGCCAGGCACTCAAAAAATGACTTGAAATGAAAACTTTTCCTTAAACCTCCTTTTTTGTATTCTAAATAAATAGAATATATATGGTTTAACTTCATTTTTTCTTTTCTTTATAAAAATACTGCATAGTGTCTTTAAGTACACTTAAGCCAATCACCATAAATCAATGATGGTGTCTATAAGTTCACTTTGGCTAATAAACTGGCATTATAGTTTTTAAAAATTTAGTTAAATAATTTGTTAAGCAATAAAAGAAACGTGTTGTAAATAAATAATCATTATATTGTAAACAAAATATAATAAAATACAAAACATAAATCTATTACAAATAACATTATGCCTTCCCTTGTCCATGAAATTCAAGAAAACAGGACCTCTCACTGGTGTTATAAATTCTCACATTACATTTTTTTCATGAAACAAACGTTTGATTCTGGCAACACAGTCTGCACTTTGTAGTTAGTATTTGCCAATGGTGCATCTTATCAAGTCTTGCTGCGTGGGGTATGACAACTACAGCTGTTGTTTTTTTCAAGACTGCAATTGGTGGTGTTCTGGCTCCACTAGCTCTTTCAGCTCACCAGTACAGCAGAATATCCTCTGCAATTTGTAATCGAAATTGTTTTAAAGTCAAATTTATTTTAGGTGTGTTCCTGTTAATAACAGATATGTGTTGGGAAAAAGGGATTGAGTAATATGAAATAAATGTTAATATTTTGCTACCTGAATTGTGGTCTTGAATTTTTTTTTTTATTGGGCCTTATACCATTGGAATTATCAAGCTCTTTTCCCAGTGGGGGTTCGAATTTCGGGACTGAAGTTTCTTCATATACTCCAGTCAAAATGGGATCTACTAATGGAATCTACTTCTTCTTCACACATTGTCAACAATTTATTGCACTGGATATTATTGAAATTTTTATCTTCAATTTTGAAATATTCCAATATTTTATTACTTTCATTTTTAAGCTTTGTTTCAGCCATTTTGGGGCATTTGTCTACATTTTTTTCTTCATTGTCGCTCTCTTCTTCATCAGAAGTGATTTTAAATTTTGGTATCGAAGCCAAAATCATTTTAGCTCGACTTTTATGCATATTTGTGAATAAAAATCTTAAAATAAAGAAATAATTTAAAATCATGTACCTCTGGCACATTTGTTGCCTAAGGTTAACTTATTATTATTAGGGTGAACTTAAGTACACCATCATTAAAATTCATGCTAAAACTTTATTCCTCTCCAGAATAGGAAATGAAACACATCAGAAGTTAAATACAATGTTTTAAAACTAATTCACTCATTTTAGTTCATATTTAAATCGAATAACATATTTTTTTTTTTCATTAGAAACTTGTCTGGTGACTAATGTGAAACAGTGAGGTAAAGAATATTCTTCAATATATTGTTAATAGTTCGCTTTCAATAACAATAAATCGACTTTTGTCACATGTACTAAAGTTGGGAGGCTACAGGGATGTGGACTGTAGCCCAAAAAGTATGAATGGAAGCAGTTACTCCTTGAACAAGTAAAATATGGAAGGTGTCTTTAAAGACACCTTTGGTCTATTAAGGGCTTAAAAGGGCAATATGACTGGCGGGGTGGAGGTGAATCGTTGTATTTAATCTATGAACATTATAAGGTGAGTGTCGTCCCCTTAAAAAAACATTTCAGATCCCGTGGACCTCCATTAATTTTCCGTAATTTAAACACCTCACATTGAGGTTGAAATTTCACTTATACCTTACTTCATGCCAATTTCGCTAAGCGCTATCATAGTACAGTGGCTATCGTACATTTCTCACTTTGAGAAGGTCTCCGGTTCAACTATGTTCTTTTAGCCTTCTTCATCATACCTTATTATTTATTTATTTTTGCCTTCTTATTTCTGACTGATCACCCCAACCATTCTTCTCTTCATTATTCACGACAGTCAACCATTAACCCACAATTATGTTCTTTTTATAATTCTTCTTTATTATATAAAACTATAATTTAAATTTTATATGCATATATAAATATTTCGTAACATTATTTTAACAAATTTAAATTGATTTAACAATTAAATCAATTTCATTTTCATTAAATTGCAATAACTAATTATAATTTATCTATAGCACTTTTAAATTTATTTCTAAGGTTTATTTTTTATGTTTACTGTTTTAAAGTGGTTTTTATTTCTTTCATTGTTTGATTATTATTATTTTGTATTGGGGATTATATTTGATTTATTGGCATTCATTTTATGGCATGTATTATTTAATTTCTTTATTTCGAATTTATATCTATTATCTGCTATTTGGCATTTATTTTTTTTCCTTTTTATAATTTTTTATTATTTGTTAATTTTGCAAGGCACTAGTGCCTATGGATAAGGTGAGTAGACTTGTTATTTATTTTTAGAATATCCACTCTCTCCACAAACATACTAGGAGTGAATAGATGTAGTTTTTTAAGGAGTTTCTTTATCTCTTGAAGACTTAATTGGATCCTGATGAAATTTACATGGGTCCACCCTGGAAGTATATAATCTTTCATGAAAAAAAATTACAGATATCGCTTGAATATGGTGATGTTCAGACTTGAATAAAAGGAAGGTGAATGAAAAAACTTTTGAAAATTGTTAAAGTTGACCGACAAACAGATAATTTATTTTAAATATTTATGTACAATCCATATCCTACTTCAGATAAATTAATTAGAGACCCGTACCCACTAGCGGATCCAGGATTTAATTTTGAGGGGGGCTTCAGCCCGAAGGATTTTTTTTTCATATATGTAACGATAATTAATTTGAAAAATAAAAAGAAAGAAACTAACTACCCATATGACATGGTGTCATACTTATTCTTGAAGTCTTATTAAATGTAATCAGACGAACAATAATAATTTAAGAGATAATTTTTAATATTTTTTTCTATAAAACATGGTTATATTTTACCATTTTGGGAGGGCTTCAGCCCGAAAGCCCCCCCTGTAAATCCGCCTGTGCCCGTACCACTACAACCCATGAAGGGTCTTGGGTGCAGTACTATGTGAGGAATTACTGTTTCAAGGCCAACGGTTGTGCAGGGAAGTGATGGGACCGATATCACGCTCAACCGCCAGGTTTTCCTCCTTAATTATTTTTTTTTTATTAAGGGTGCCCACTTTATAGAGGCTGGGTCTCCCAATCCCAGAGTCGATCCACGGCTAACGAAAAATTACAAATCAATAGCCGGATTCGAACCCAGGACCTTGAGCTCTTGAAGTCAGTGCTCACCCACTGAGCTACCTCGCTTCCTTAATTATAGACATTACTGAAAAGTATCATTTTTATTTATTTTTTTATTGACGAATAGAATGAAAACATAAAGAGATCAATCATATAGAATTGTAGAAAATTTATCATATCTGAGAAATTGAGGATCTAAAGTAATAATGAAGAATGATTTGAACATATCATTGGAGTATTAGCTCAGATAGATAAGAATGAAACTTCTGATAATATTGAAACAGCAATTACAAACCTATTCCAAATCCCAAAACTACGTAAATCTTTTCCAAATCCCAAACCTATGTAAATTTTTCCAAATCAAGTGTGACATTTTATCCTTAATGTAAACTTCTTCTGTTTAAAGGAATACCACCGAATAACTAAAGAATAATTGAAAATTAGGAAATGCGTTTCACTTTATGAATACACAAACATTGGTTACCCACATACACACACACACACACACAAATGTCAGTACCCATCCCTCCTCCCTTCTTCCGTCTCCTATCAATATCAGTGCATCCCAGTAGATGCCAAACTCCTGATTTGGTGCTACAAATTATAATTT